AAGGTCACAGAGACTGTGACCGAAATTGCTTGAGCCCTTTGTTTATCATAAAAACTGTTTCAATGAGGACGAAGCCCATTTTTCTTCTCTTTAACGAATTTCCCTTTGAGTGGCAACTTCTTTCACTGCTTATTTTTCTTAAAATTTTTGTCTCATTCAAAGTTATATTACAATGAATTAAAATTTAAAAAGTTCAGGTTCCTATTTTTCTCTTAAAAATTCACACTCAATTTTTTATTTATATCAAAATTTTTTTCATACATTATTTCAGCATCATCTTCTGACCCTTACGCTTAACGCATGCCACTCTCATTGCTGCTCACTTATCTCAATTGGCTCAGGTCGCTTTTTGTTGACATAGGCTGCTTTCTAATGACAGCACTTTGGCTCACATTAAGCAAACAAACAAATAAACACTCCATCCCAACCGCAAACAAAACTCGAAAACGTAAAGTTTTTATTTTATAATTTAGGGAAAATGCGCAGCCAAAATTAAATCCAGAAGATCTTTATTTTTTCCACTCCAAGCGTTTTTTATGTGAAGTTTATTCAACCGCGCATTATTGTCGCAGCGAGCATGAAATTTTGACCAGCACGGTTTTGTAGCGTGTTTTTTGTGTTTTGCGTCCGTGCGCACATAAATACGTGTGTATATGAAAAGGAAAGAGCAAAGGACGCGCATTAAAAATACATTTTTGCATAATTAAGCAGGCCGAGTTAATTCTCCGGTGAAAAAAAAACGGACGAAAGATCGGTTTTAATTGCACTAAAGGAAAAGGGGGGCTTTGCATCGGAAAATATTTTAATTTCCGACAGGAATAAATCACCTCGAAAGGGCACCAATTAGGACTCCCCGGAGCTTTTTGCCGCCAAAACAATCGTGATTCCCATCAGGGAGTTTCTCTCAATAGGGCATTTCGGAAAGCGGGAGATGTTTTTGCTGGTGCCGGCGAGCTCTCGGGCCGGCCATAAAATTTGCCCGCAACAGCAGCGAATTCATCTGCGTGTTTTGCGCAATGCAAGGCGGCGTCTCATAAAATTCAATTGCTGCAGGCTAATTTCTCGGCCGGATTTGCGGCAAGTCCAGGATTTTCCTTTTATTTTACCGCATGTTTAAGTTCACCTGGTGATTTCTCTCGAGTGTATTTCTTTAATAAAAGAAATTTTATTGCAGAGGTGCTTTTTTGTAAATAATTGTTTATCCCTCAATTTTATAATTTTGTTTCTTTGTAAAATAAATTGCTTATATTAAAAGTTTCATATTAGTTTAAGATTTTTCTTTCCATTTGGCAAATAAAATTCTCAGTTTGGATAATTTTTAGAGAATTTTTAACCCTCTCAATAATTAAATTATACTGTAATGTAATAATTTGAAAATTCAAACATTAATTTACAAGAAAATGAACGTATCAGATCATTTTAAAATGTAAACCCTAAAATACCCTAAACTTGCATTACACACTTTGAAACTCACAGCACGCTAATCTACAAAATGTACGTACAAACACGCATACTAATTATATTGAGTGAACGTTTTGACTTTCTTCTCACTTTTTTCATCAATATTTGTACTGCACACTGAATAATAAAATGGTTAGTTACAATTATAATTACTATAAGATATTTTGATCTTTGATAAACGGGGACTATTGAATTTATTACTTTTTGGTATATTCCGTATATTCCGATCAAAGAACATCTAGTTTTTATTATATCAATAATATTTTTTATTTTTAGATCTTTGTTAGTTAAAATTATCATTATTTTTGATTGATTTGTGATAAAATTCAAACTGCATTCCTTTAACAAAAAGGTTTTAATGTTTTTTTTTACAGAAATATTCAGAGCGGATAATTTTATAAACTTAAATTAGGACAATTAGGAATACTACAAAAACTCATCATACGAGCTACTTAAATTGTTCGATTAAAAAAATAATGGGAGTGTAGTCTTAAATAGAATATATTTTAATTAGGAATATCTACTAAAGTCAACCGATTCCTCTCTAATTTGAGCATTAATTTCAACTAATGGTCATTTCTGTACATTCAGATGTACGACCTGTATGAATAATTTTGGTGGTAAAAGTATCCTCTGGAGAACTCTTACAGTGGCCGCACTTGAGATTGAGAGTGGCCATTTATTCGCTCGTCTCACCTCTCATCCATGCTTAAAGGGGCCTCGTTTTAATTAATTGCGGAAGGCCGAGGAAGTCCGTGTGGCTCCTCTTAAAATGGCGTTGCGAAACAAGCTTTTGCACTCTCGGTGTAACACACATTTTGCAATAATTATCAGACACTGAGTGAAACTAATTGAGACATAATATTTCAATTAATCCAAGGCACTTCGGAGCATCTATAATTATAATTTAAAATAAGTCACTAAATATTTAGTTAGTTAGATTTGTTTCTTGTTTCTTTTTGAACTGTTATTTATTTTTAATATTTAAATTGTTCCCAATTAACATTTTGTGTACAGAGAAAATAATAATCCGTTAAAATATTGGTAAATCTTCAATTAATCTTCTTAAATATTATTAATAAGGAAAACAAGGATTTCAAGACAATGGCAGAAATAATGACAGGCTTAAGAAAATCCGCTTACCATTATCTTGCTGGGTGTCAGGTGCAATCGAATGCGACGGGCGAGAGCTTCGTGGGCCAAGCGGCTGCTCTGCGGAGGGTGCGTGGCGTTAGTGGAGCAACTCTCGCCGGCGAAGCCTTTTTAAACGGGGTGAGGCGCCCCCGCAACCCCTTCCACCTCTCGCGGGACAGCCTGTCGTTCGCGAGTTTAATTCTTGCAGACGCACCAACTGCGGTCCGCCGAATAATAGTCGTAGGTCTTTATTCAAATGCACACCACACGCGCTGCCGTAAATCATTAATTTTCCCATTGTGTCGTTTTCATGCATATGTTAATTATGCAAGATTGTAATTGTTGAAAGCGTTATTGTTCTCCGAAAATCATTGTTTAGGGAAATATGGAAAAATACTGCCAAATTCTAGGTAGCTGCAGGTTTTTGAATGCCTCATTCGTGTCTGTTTTAAATTTTTTTCAATTAAATTTTTTGTGTTAGATGATTATTGTCGATTTTTTTTAGCTTCATTAGTCATTTTATTAATAATTCCAGAATTTTTTTAATTTACCATTTACCTTTGGATCAAAATATTTTAAACGGAAACCTAATTCAATTCAATTAGTTTATTTTCTTTCAACAAGTCAGTCGCAGTCAACTTATTTGGTTGTATAAACCGTATAAACCATAAACCTATAATTGTATGAAGTTTTACATTAAATTTTAATAGAGATAAAATATTTTTAATAAATTAAGATGTTTCTTTGCTAGATATATTTTCAACCAAAAATTACCAAATGAAGTGTTTCTTTTTATTTTCTTCGCACACAAAAAACTAAATATAATTTTAAAATTGTTGTTTTTTAAATTAAATGCATTTTTAAACGGTTTTTCAGGTATTGTCTTTTTTTAAAAAAAATATCATAAATTTTTCAGATGCACTTTCGTATAATTTGATTCTTTAAAACCTTGATAGCCGCTTTGGAATAATCAATTCAATTTCTCTTCTTCAAAGTTGGCGTGCCAGCAAAAAAGGCACGAGCGTCAGAATTGCAAAATAGTGGTGAAAAAAGTCAGCAGGTGTGTTATTCATTAATGTACAAACACATATTTTTTTGGTTTTCACGGCATTTCACGCCGCCGGCCGCGGTCCAGCCGTTAGTCCAAGTTTCTGCAGCAACGGCAAACAAACGCACACCATCCAGTCGTCAATTTTTAATGCACCGTCGGTCTAATTAATAATTGAACCCAAAGACTACAAACAAACACGCACGCATCTGAGACACCAAGCGGTACTTCTCTTTGTAAGAAATACAACGATAAAATAGAATGCTTCTGAAATTGCATTAAAAGTGGCATTTAATAAAAAAAGAAACGCTAGTTTACTTTGCTATAAAATTTCAAAAATCAAAATATTTAGAATAAATTGTATTAAAAAATAAATCTAAAGAATTCATTTTAAAGCAGCCTTATTTTTAGATCCGCAGGCACAGTTTTGGGCAGTGCCTGCTGTTTCAGGACGTATGCAATCACACCTCACACTTGTGCCAAGCGAGTTGCCTAATTCCTCAAACCACAAGGTCGATCTTCGAAATCCATACAAGCCTTTTTTCCAGTAGCTGTTGGCACTTGAAGGACCGTGTTTAAAAAGTTTGATCGAAATTTTTTTGGAGTTTTTTTTAGCAGTTTTTCTCTCTAGCTTGTAAAACACTCTAATCAGATAAAATTCCATGCTGGTTACAATAATTCGGGAAATAATTTCATTTTAAATTTTTACTTCAATCATAATTAAATATAAAATTAATACTTCAAACATGTTCTTGCCTAACTTTCATCACAAAAATAATTAAGCACAATTTGGTAGTCTCATCTTATATTCAAGATTGAAAATTGTGTTTTCATGGATTGGATAATAATTAGTACAAAAATATTATATATGTATTGATAAATGAAACATTTTGCATAATATTCCAGAGAAAACGTAAAAAAATTAGTTTATGATATTACCTTCCAGCATGTTTTTCAACATTTATATACGTTAAAGAAATGAAAAAAATTATTACATTTTAACTTTTTTAAATTGAATTTTTTCTGTATAAGGGATTTTATTCATTTTTACTGTAAAATTTAAAAATGGATTTGATTGTTACTATAATCATTGTTGTTTACTTGTCCACATTGTCAAAAATACATTGTTTACACATGCAATTGCTGATAACTTTATTTAAATTATTTAAAACTTATTATTTGATTCAACATTCAATGATATTTCAAAATCTATGGTTGTGGGACACTGTTTGTTTACCGAATATTGTGGCTTAAACGTTTTTTATTGTAAACACGGGCTTTGATTGAAATTAAAAACGATGCATCGGGTTGCGGTCGTCGGGTTGGCTGACACGTTATATGCAAATTAATCGTCTGGTCTCATTAATGAACATAATCGCGTCTGCCTTTATTAGTCAAATCTGCACGCAATAGCTGCCAACAAAGGGCGGTTAAAAATATATTTTTAAACTTTAATCAAAGCACACAGTTGATTTTAAGAATAAAAACAGCCGTGCTCAATCAATAAAACGATTGGCGCGCTAAAAGAACAATCGGCCCCGCAGCTGGAAAGCGACGTCGGATTGTTGGTTGCACAGGAGAGCGGGTGGATTCATAGAGATATTGCTTTTTTTCTACTCGTTTTGTTTCCACCCGACGCACCAGCCACTTTGATTACAGGCGGCTCAGTGGGAAACGCACGCAGAAGGGGAGAAGAAAAGAAATTAAACGCGGTGCATCTCGGGGCTCGCTCGAGTTTTTGCGGCGGCCGCACCTCAACTGGCTCAGACCTGCGAACCAGCAATTTGGGTCTCAAAAAAACAGACAACTGACTTGAGTAAGCAAACAAGCGTATGTGTGTTCTGCCGCGGAAAAGTGATAAATAAGAAAAATGCGTTTTTCACGGCCCACTGGGAGGGAAGCGTGAAAAATTAGAAACAAAAGGTCATCCTTCCCTTCCAATCTTTCTGCAATTTTTTCCACTCGCTCTCTTTCTCGATCTCACCCGAAAAGCAAAAAAATAAAACTCGCAAAGGGACTCGGTTTTTTATAATAATAAATTGTATCTTTATTATTTTTTTGGCTTTATTTTTATCTTGTGTACAGTTCTTGTATGTTGGATCTTACCGTCGTTTTTAAATTAAGAAAGTAGTCTCGCCTGCCCCGAGTTCTTGGATGTTGGACGATACAAGATGGTGTTACGTTTGTTGTTCATGTTGTTGTTGAGATGTTATGTTTTGTATATTATAATTGTTTTGCGGCTGGAAGTTGTTTGTTGGATGTTGAGTGATGGAAGTTTACTCGGCCGCCTCCTCGCCCTCCTCAGCAGAAGAGGTCAGGATGGCGATCAGCTTGCCGGTGTCAATGAAACCGGCATCGTCAATCTCGAAGTTGTCGAAGGCATCGTCAACCTCCTGGGCGGAGAACTTGTCGCCCCAGGTCATCAGAGCGAATCTGAACCTGAAAATATAGGAAATTTTTCATTAGCAAAATAAATTATAATTTTTTTCATCCAGTTAATATATGAATAAATTTTTACTTTAATATTTAAAAAGCTAAATTTATTCAAGCCTCAAATCATTTTTTTTTTCACAAATATTTATTGAAAAAAATTCAACTTTTTTAATTTTAAATTCTAGGTTTTTCTTTTTCTGGAGTGATTTTTAATATATTCAAATTTTATTTACTTCTCGCTGTCGATCTTGCCGTTGTCGTCGAATGTCTTGAAGGCGTTGATGACGACGTCGTCCTCATCGGAGCCACCGGACATGCGGTTGGCGAAGAGGGTCAGCAGCTGGGTGAAGTTGATGGGGCCGGAGGCCTCATTGACCATGGCGTCGAGTTCCTTCTCAGCCACGAGACGACCCAGAGAGTCGAAGGTGGCGCGCAGATCGTTCTTGCTCAGGATGCCGTCCTTGTCGACGTCCATCATCTGGAAGCCCTCCTTGAACTCGGCCACCTGCTTCTGGCTGAACATGGAGAAGACATTGGAGCCGGAGCGCTTGGCGGCCTTTTTCGAGCCACGGCTGGTCTGGCGAGCGGGCTCGGCGGCGGGAGCGGGCGCTGGTGCTGGTGCTGGTTCTGGTTCGGGGGCGGGTGCCGCCTCCTCCTTGGTGGACTTCTTCTTCTTCTTCTTTTCCTTGTCCGCCTGCGAAAGGAAAATCAATCAAAGTTAGTTCATCTGACGAACAAAACATAAAATTTGAGAAAAATCAAAATTAATTGAAGGGCTGATTTTGTTTGTGATTTAAAATAGTTCATCTTAAATTGTGTAATAATTGTATAAATTTGTTATGCTTCTTTCTTTATATATTTATTTCTGATTTAAAACTTTTAAATGCGATTTTAAAACGGTGACTAACGTCCATTTTAAAACTTTTCCTTTTTGTTTCCGTTGGCATTCACGCCAAATCGAGTACGGAATTCTTTAGTGAAAAAAAGATCCTCTCTTCTGAAATCCCCACTTTTTCCTTTGCTGCCGAAGAGAATTATTTATAGATTAAGCGACCGCACCGGTTAGAAAATCCAGAAAACCCGCTCTAATCTTATCCGTCATCTGTATAATAAATCAACTCAACTGGCCTTGCACGAATTTAATATTCCAATTATTGGGAAAAGGAAATGGAAATAATCGATTAATTACATAAAAATATTATGTAATCAAAAGAAGAGATTGTATTTATTCACTTTGTCATCTAAAACGAAAATTAATTTAATTGAAAAGGAAAGTCTACGATATTTGAAATCAATCACTTTTCAGATTGGCATGTGTGCGTAGAGGGGAACGTCATCGGACACACGAGCCGCCTTGCCATGTAAGGGGGGCCTAAAAAAAGATGCGCGCCTCGAAATAGCAGAGTCGCGGCTCTCGCGGCTATTTCCGTCCGCTGGCCCTTTCTTTCCTCCAAATCGCGCGGCCACACAACTATTGCGACACAGCAATTCCGATTTTTCCCTCAATTTTCCAGGCCATTGCTTCGGAAATGTTGCGGGAAAACTGCAGTTTCCACTGCTAGGCCACCTGTAGCGCTGGCGGGTCGAGCGGGTTGCCTGACCGGCGAAAGCTGCAGGCGTCGGAAGAGGGAAAGTTTCGAGCGGCGGCATAATTGAAAGAAGCGTTGGTTTTTATTGCAGTTGGAAAAGAAATAGAAGAGGTTCCAACGTGAGGTCGGTTATTAAAAAATAAAGAGAAAGAAATAGAATTCGGAAAAAAATAATCAGTTTTGAGTTACGTAGCTGCATTCAGTTTTAAATCAGAAATTCAGTTTACTTTTTCTTCCCAGTTTGTTTCCTTTTCTTTGAATATCTTTTGATTGAGTTTCGGATATTAAAAAGATTTTTAAAATTTAAAAGTAGTTTAAAAGAAAATATTTAGAATTCAGTTGTTTTATCAGAAGAACTAGAATTGTTTTGAGTCCTATGTTGATTTGAATTGGTTTCCTTCAACTCACCATTGCTGATGTTTTGGGGGCCGAGTGCGAGAATCAAGTGGTGGGTCCGCCGAGCGCTGTCCCACTGCGGCCTCCTTTTGACGCCCGCCCCTAGCTTAGCTCGCGGCCGCCCCCTCCGGCGCCCCCTGCGGCCCCTTTGCCGGCCCCGACGCACGCCTTATTTAGATCCTTCGATTCTCGCCGTCCTGTCGCGCGCTCACCAAACAAAATCAATCCCTCCCCCCGTGTTACACACCTTTCGCGCGATTATTCACCACTCGCGGCATTTAATTCTTTAATCTAAGGCGTTAATCCCTTACAATCGACGCGCACACTCGCGCCTCTGATTCCATCGAGAAAAATGTTTCTTCTCGGACGGCGGCCAAAAAATTCATAATCAGCCTCCTTATGCAAATAAGTTACGCCCATCTTGTTCCAGACTGTTCGTGCGAATAGTTTTGAGCAAATTAAGCACAAATTATTAACTCTGCAAAAAATATTATAATTATACTACTTAGTATATATAAATATTTTTGGCAAATTTCTGGCAAAAACAAATTCTATAATAGCAATTTTTTCAGTATCAATTGATTGCAATTTTAAGACGGTTCCAATTAAATATTAATGATGATACCTAAAATAACATGTATGAAAACATTGCAAAAAAGTTGAAAGGTGTATAAATTGTTTTCTTAAAGAAAACAATATTTTTGATCTATTTTATTGCAATTTTCCAAAATAAAAAAAAAATCTTTAAAGACAGAATAATTTGAACCTAAATTGATTTTTTTTTAGAGTGAGTAAAATTCTTAATAATTCCTCAGAAGAAAAATTATGAATGTAACTCTTGAGATTTTAATATTATTATTATTGTTGATGTTTATTTGTTCACTTTAATATTAAATATTTACATTCAATTTTTCAATAACAATTTACTTTTATTCCTAAATTTGGCAATCTGATCTCTCTAACAACCGATCTATTTTTAAATCAGATTGTCTATTTCAACGAGTCTGAAATTTAAGGAAATTTTTTAGCCGATCCTATTTTTAACTTGGCAGAATCCCCTTTCAATGAGTATTGTTCAAACACCACATATTTTAAACCACCGGACGTAAATGTACATTGTTCCGCCTTGCTGGGTGAGATCATTGTTCCTAAATTTGCAGTTGACCTTCGCTTCTTGCCAGAGTTTGCAACTAGAGGTCGGCAAAGTGCTTTTGCCATCGATTTCCACATAGACGATGCCCAACGAAAATCTTTTTTAACGTAGTTGAATTAAATTTCTTTTAAAAAGTTCTATGACTTGAGACGGAAAAGTGTGAAGTTTAATTAATTTTTTTTTAATATGATCTTTATCGCAAATTAAAATAAAAATTGTAGAAAAGCACCTATGACATTACCAAACATACAAAAAATGGGTGATATTTTGAATTTGTTACAGACCAACAAAGCATGCGAACTAAAAAATTTTTTATTTTTTTTAATATTTTCTCAGAATGTTCTAATGAAAATTATTTTGGTCAATTTTTTTCCATTTCTACGAAAGATATCCTCATCCTAGAAGAAAGTTTCCATCAAAAGTAATAATTTATTCAATGTCAATTATTTTAAGCTGTAATTGGTGACGCACGATTCTGGCTTGTGCGCGAAGAGTTGGCTTATTTCGAACGGCCTCTTTTTGGCAACTTGGAAGGTAAACAAATTTTTGCGTAACGCACTGCCAAAATCAGTAAGATTGGTACGTGCCTTCAATTAAAATAATGAAATATTCTTCGTGCGTCAAGCCGGGGGCTGTCTTGAGGCAAACGCATCTCACAAAAGGCTTTTTATTTTGGCGTAATTGCCTCTGCGCGCGTCTTCCGCTCATTAAACACGAATCCAACGGATGAATTCTGCGGGCGCCAAACTTTGACAGATAAGGAGTCGCTCAAGTTTAGCTGCGCCAGTTTATATTTTTGTTGTTTTACCAGAGAACGGTATGCAATGTGAAAAGGTGCTAAATTTGGGATGCGCCGCGCGAGTTTTTTGGAATGTAGGCCAGTCGGTTTTGTCTCTTGTATTGTGAGCCGTGTGCGTCCCGAGAATAGCCGCGAGTCGGGGCTGAAAATAAAATATAAAAGCTGCTGGCTCGCGCCTCCCCCGTCCCGAAGCAGCCGCCGACCCCGCGAGTGCATTTTGCACCTCCAGACCTTGAGACCTAACACACGCCGATTTCTCCAGAGCAATCCTATTTTTGTTTTCATACACATTTGTAGAAGTTTAAATTTCCTAATAAATAACATCATTTTTACAAACAACGAAAAGCATGCTGACGCTTATAATTTGTTCTGCAAGCATTATTTATATCCAAATTTTAACATAATTAATTATTTTTGTAATTAAAATAATAAAAAAAGAGAAAAATAAGAAATAAGAGAGGAAAGCACTAAACTTAAGTTTCAAATCGTTTTTAATATTTTATCCCTAGGCAGTCTCTGCCCAAATTTACCATCCATATATTCAATATTACAAATTTGGTCATTTAAACAACAGCTTAAGAATAACAAAGCAAAATCAAAAGTATTTTAAAATTACAGCAATTGAAGTTGTTAGTTATAAGCTATTTTTTAACTTGACAGCGCACTTTTGTCCCTTTTTACTCTTGGCTCATCATTATTATTTTTTACTTTCGGTGCTTGTACTGTTTTCCTAACGACTTACATTCAGGTTTGATCCAGGTTAGGTGGACCATCATCAAAATAATTGAATATAAATATGTTTTATTTCTTATAAAATAAAAGTTATAGTTGTCATTACATTTTTTTTTTCAATTATCTTCAACCTTTCGGAAAATAAGACGATTTCATAACGTCTCTGCCTTCTTATTTTGACCGAGTGACTTAGCCGGTTCCGCTGGTCTGACCGCAACAAAGTATATAATTGGTCGAGTAATGTAATTGGCGATCACTTTTAAGTGCAGTATAAAATCGCCAGTTGAGAAATTGCATCGTCCTGCACCTAGCGGAGGCCGGCGATACTCCGTGAACGGTTTTTTGCTTAGCATGACCCAAGACATCAATTGCTTAGCAATTTCTTTATTAAGCAAATTTCATGCGTAGAACCAGCAGTCTAGGCAAGATCACAAGATGGCTAGGACAGAAGTTTGGTGGGCCGTGGGCTGTGTACTGGCGATGGCCCTGGCGGCGGTCGACGGCCTCCAGGGGGGCGGCAAATGCAGCCCCCAATGCGTAAACGGCTACTGCCACCCTGAGACAAGCAAGTGCGTTTGCACTACAAAAGGAATAATTGGAGACCAATGCGACAAGTGTGACACTATTAACCATTACTCCGGAGACCCAACAAATGGGTCTTGTTTTTGTAATAAAAAAATTAATTCTGTTTATTTTTCATATTTTCATTAATTTTTATTTTAGATGATTTGACTATTGACTACCAGTTCACCTTCAACCTTTCAAGAAAAGAAGACAGACACTATTCCCAAATCAACTTTAAAATTATTCCACCCAAGCCTGATGTGGATACCAATTTTCAAATCACTTGCTCCGTTCCCTCAAAAATGAAAATCACCGTTAGAACAGGTACCCGCGTGACATGTATTTTAAAATAATTACAAAGTTAACCAAATTATAGCAAATGGACCAGAGAAAGATGTTCTGGTAGCTCAGAACTGCTCGAATTTCAGACATCGCTTTTCCAAATCGGAATACCAATTTGGTCTTGAAGACAACGCCACCCAGACTACATTCTATGTCTATCTTTATGGTTTCCAACCGCTTATGTGGATTCAGATTGGTTTCGCCCAATATACCCCAGAGTCAAGATTTTCATCAGCTAATTTTTTAAACTATATTCTTGGAAAATTAAATGACAACTTTTAATCAATTTAAGGTTTTTGTTTTCTACACTGCTATATAGTGCCATACCGGTGCCATATTTTGTGAACTTTTCTTTCAAAATAAAGAATAATATAAAAATTTCAAACAATGTAGGGTTTTTATCCAGAAATGAACAATTCCCTGACATTCTTATCCAAAAAGACATAATTCTTTTGAATTATTTCTTTTTGAATAATTTAAATTTTGATTTATATGAAAAGATTATTGTTAAAATTAGCTTGGAAACAAAATCAATGTTTCCTCTTCTGTTTTATTTTTAAAGAATGTGAGTGTGATCAATTTATTATATTAAATTATCACGGGCCCCTCTGGCCTCTGGCCCCGCGATACTCTCCTCGGGTTGCGGGTCAGAGTACGGGTTACGGGTGGCGAGCCGCCATGGCATATACTTATGCATTGTTTGATAAACTTCGATCCTTTGATCTGCTCCAATATAAGCGTGCACATTGCATGTGCGTATACCCTCATTGCATTGCGTTCCCATTTCCAAGAGTTAATAAAAAGAAAATATTGCTTGCTATTTTGCTCGTTCGATTTTTAATTTAGAAAATTCTTACTTAAAAAAATAGGATAGCTTGTCTCTTCAATCTCACAAATGGAGTAATAAATTTGATAAATTTATGAAATTTATTAATTTTTTTATAATTTTATACTGCAGCCGCGTGGTCAAGTTCAAATATTCGGCGCCACGGTGACCCCGAAAGGTTTAGGGCCACGCCCCTGTCAGCGAGAGTAGGGTAGGCCGCGGAGGCAAGATGGCCCCAGAAATGTTATTATTTATGTTCAAATCGAAATATCGACGGAAAGAAGTGTGGTGGGCCGTGGGCTGCCTGCTGGTGATGGCCCTGGCGGCGGTCGACGGCCTCCAGGGGGGCGGCAAGTGCGGCCCCCAGTGCGTGAACGGCTACTGCGCCAACAACACCTGTCACTGTTTTGACGGCTGGCAGGGGGCCAATTGCCAGTTTTGCGGCGGAAAAGTCAGGTTCGTCGACCCTCAGAACGCCAACGGAGGTCGTTGACCTTTGACCAGACTCCGTTTGCACCCCATTGCGGGCCTCAGGGGTCCCTTTCCATCGCCAAAATTCATTTCCCACGGCCTGTTTTCACCTTCCTTTTTTGGAGCCTTCAGCAGACCTTGGAACAAATTTCTGAAGAACTTTTTGAATTGCAGGTTGTCCGAGCCGTCTGGCTACATCTTGGACGGCCAGGGTAACTACTCGGTGGACGTCAAGTGCAGCTGGCTGGTTTCCAGTAGCAGTCCGAACGCCTCCATCCGACTGCACCTCGAAGAATTCGCCACCGAGTGTGGTTGGGACCACCTTTATGTCTACGATGGAGACTCCGTCCGCTCGCCCTTGCTTGCCGTCTTCAGGTATGGAAATTTAGATATTTATTAATTAAATAAATTGATTGAGATACTAAGTTGGTATATTTTACAATTTTAGTGGTCTCATGTACAAGGATGACTACCGTGTCCGTCGAGTGCCAGAAGTGGTGGCAAAATCAGGGTCGGCCCTGCTTCATTTTTATAGTGACGTTGCTTACAACATGACTGGATTCAACATTTCATACAGGTTTGCATTGAAATTTTGATACATCAATTAGCTCATATTTGAACGAAGATCAAGAAATAAATTAAAAATCAAGTTTGAAAATTTTATTTGTTTTCGTCAGTTTTATTTGTTTAACAGATGGAAATTGCAATAAATTATAAGATAATTGATTATCCATCAGTAAAATTAATAAGTAACAAAATTTTTATTAAAAAAGTGGTGAAATTTATTACTATATTTTATCATGAACAATAAATTAATACTTTTTCAAACCAACCTTTTCAGGCTTAACTCTTGTCCATCTCAGTTTGTGGAAAATGAGTGCAGCGGACACGGCGTCTGCATTGATGGCCTGTGTACTTGTGACGCCCTGTACACGGGTGATGCATGTGAGGTTCCTGTCTGTCCTGACAATTGTTCTGGACGGGGTCAGTGCAACCGAGAGAAGCATCGTTGTGAGTGTTGGGGTGACGCTAGAGGAGATGACTGCTCGCAATCGGCCGACCGGGGGTTTTGGGAGCTGCTGCAGCCCAAGGCGTTTGTGCCTGAGGGCTCAGCTTCACATGGGGTGGTCGTCTGGAGGGACTCGTTGTACGTGGTTGGCGGCGAGTCGTACGAAAAAGCCAAGCTGATGTATGTCTACGACTTTACTGGTGAGTCAGACATTTTTATAAGTTTTAATTTAGTTTAATCATTTAATGATAGAACTATGTTCAGTTCCAAAAATTTGTCAAAAGTAATATTAATTAAATATTTAAATTTTCAGGACAAATATGGGAAACAGTTCACATTAACAGCAAAAATGTCCCTCAGTCCAGATATGGGCATTCCACTGTTATTTTTGGAGTAAGTTCCAATTTTTGTTTACCAAATACCCATAAATATAACTTTTGTTTTTTTTTCCAAAGGACAAAATTTACATGTACGGAGGTGTGGATGTTGGTGGTACTGTGTCTGCAGAGCTTTGGGCCTTTGACATCAGTGCCAACGCTTGGGAGAACATAACAGTCAGGGCCGAGTCCTGTGCCCACCTCAAACTTTACCCCAAACTGCCTTGTGGTAATTATCTCCCTCCAATATAAAATTTTGAAATTTAAATGAAAATTTAAGGTCCGCTGAGGTCGACCGGACACACAGCAACGGTTGTGTCCAGCAAGGCCAAGAAGAGCGAGAAGATGATAGTTATTTTTGGTCACTCGCCCGTCTACGGCTACCTGAACACAGTCCAGGAGTACAATTTTGGTACGAGGACGTGGCAGGTTGTGGCCACCAAGGGTTTCCCTGTCAAGGGTGGCTATGGCCACTCAGCCGTGTACGACGGGGTAACTCAGCGAATTTATGTCTACGGAGGATATGTATCTGAAAGCGCCTCAACGGCACTTTTGACCAACAAGCTCTACTCTTATGACCCATTTTCAAAGATCTGGTAATTAATTGCAAGGTTTTTAATTGAATTTGTAAAATTGAATGCTGTATTTTTGATGCTATTTTATATGTTATCACTCATTTTTAGAAAATTAGTGAATTAAATCAATTGAATTTTTACAACCTTTTTCAGGAACTTGCTTATGTCTGCCCCGTCTGCTAGATTTCTTCACTCTGCTGTGATTTCCCGAGGACTGATGCTCGTCTTCGGCGGAAACACACATAATGACACAGCCTTCAGCCACGGCGCCAAGTGCTACTCGCACGACTTCCTTGCTTATGACCTTGCCTGTGACACTTGGTCCATGTTACCAACACCATCCCTCTCACGAACAGACCTCAGTCGATTCGGACATTCCGCAGTACTATTCGACGGTGCTCTCTACATCTATGGTGGCTTCGATGGCCAATTCAGGTATTTATCTTCTATTCTATTGCTAGTGGCTGATAAAATGCCAGAAATGATGTTAAATAATATAATTTTCATTACTGAAACATCCGTTTTTTTTCTTTCTAATTTCTGTTATAAACTGTAGAGGAATTCTTATTTCCTAATTTATTTTGAAATTCAGGTTTCTTTCAAGTTTTACCATATGTATCACAACAATGAGTTGATTTTATAATTATTTTTATCTTATTGCCAGATCTGACCTTTTGAAATTCACGCCTGGAAAGTGCAGCGTGTTGAAGGATGAGGGTGCCTGCAGTCAAGGTCGACCTGGTGTGAAATGTGTTTGGAGCGAGGAGGACGCATCCTGCGAAGTTGCAGGACAGGGAGTAGGACTGGGCAAGGCGCAGTGCTCAACTGTTTTTGAGCACGGCCGAGCTGAGGTTTGCGCCATGCTGGACAATTGCGGTGCTTGCGTCCACACGTCTCACTCTTGCAATTGGTGCGGAGGCTTGCAGGGCAGCTGCAACTACCAACGCTGTAAGGAGCCGTCGCAGAAGGTAAAATACTTTTGAATTGTTCAATTAAATTTCAGAGTTCTTGCATTTAAATCAATTTTGATAGACAACAGTTTGATTTAAATTTTTTACTATTTATTCATTTTTATAACCAATTGATGTTGTATGATATATTTTTCTCAGGCCATAACCAGCATGGAGCAATGCGAGTCGCAAGACAATGGCGCTTGTCTTCAGTTGCACAATTGCCAGGCTTGCGGTACAAACCCTCGGTGCAGATGGGAGTTTGAAGCCCGTTGCAAAGCTATAGGTACTAAAATATCACACTTTGTTGGCTCCAGCTAAATTTTTTCATGTTTAGCCAATGTTACGAGTGAGGTAGGTGCGGTGGAGATGCCAGGCTGTCCAAACAGCTGCGCCCAGTTCTCATCGTGCACCAACTGCACACAGGAGGAGTGCATCTGGTGTCAGAATGAAGCAAGGTGTGTCAACAAGAATGCCTACACAGCATCGTTCCCTTATGGACAATGCAGAGAGTGGACCACGCACATCACCAAATGCAGACCATCAAATGGTATAAATTTCAATATAATTTATTTAGACAGATTTGATATAATATAGTTGATTAGTTTAATAGTAAAAGGGAAAGCTTAATTCAAGATTTGCAATAAATTCTTAAGGAAAGTCACAAAAATTAAGCTTGGAACTTAATAAAAATAAACTAATGAAAACAATTCCTTGCAGGTGAAGCCGAATGTTCATTTTACGCAAGTTGTGAGGACTGCAGGGTGGATCCTGCCTGCGGATGGTGTGATGATGGCTCTGGAACTGGTCTTGGGCGGTGCCTCCGTGGCGGAAACCACAGACCAGACGACCCTTCGATGTGTCCTTCCGATTCCTGGTTTTTCACCAGATGCCCTAGTTAGTTTTTCACTTAACGAAATACATTCGAAAAATAATTTCACATAAAAATCTCAGCTTGTCAATGCAATGGCCATAGTACTTGCGGAAATGGGTCAAGTCAGTGCAGTCAACCCTGCAACAACCTGACGCAAGGGTTGCACTGTGAACGCTGCGTTCCAGGTTACTTTGGAAATCCAGTCAATGGAGGAAAATGCAGTCGTAAGTTCTTTTTGATATCAACTTTTTTGTGATTTACTGAATATGCCACCATATTATAGCTTGTCACTGCAACAATCAGGGTACGCAGTGCCACCCTGAGACAGGCAAGTGCTTCTGCACTACAAAAGGAATCACTGGGGACCACTGCGACAAGTGTGACACAACTAACCATTACTCCGGAGACCCAGCAAATGGTTCTTGTTTTTGTAAGGAAAAAAAATTAATCCGTCTATTTCTCATATTTTGATTAATTTTTATTTTAGATGATTTGACTATTGACTACCAGTTCACCTTTAACCTTTCAAAAAAGGAAGACAGACACTATTCCCAAATCAACTTTAAAAATATTCCCCCCAAGCCTGACGTGGATGCTGACTTTCAAATCACTTGCTCCGTTCCCTCCAAAATGAACATCACCATTAGAACAGGTACCTAAATGACTTGTTTGTTATATTTAAAAATATTCATTTATCAAAATTATAGCAAATGGACCTGAAAAATATCTCCTGGTGGCTCACAACTGCTCTACATTTAGACATCGCTTTTCTAAGTCGGAGTACCAATTCGGTCTTGAAGACAACGCCACCCAGACTACTTTCTATGTCTATGTTTATGATTTCCACCCGCCTTTGTGGATTCAGATTTCTTTCTCCCAATACCCAAAACTGAATCTGCAGCAGTTCTTCATCACCTTCTCAACGTAAGAAAATCATAACTAGCAAAAGCTTTGAAAAATTGTACCCACTCTCTTTTAGTTGTTTTGTTCTTTTGCTACTTGTGGCAGCCGTGATGTGGAAAATCAAAGTCAAATACGACCTTTTCCGTCGGAGACAGAGGATGTTTGTCGAAATGGAGCAAATGGCCAGTCGACCGTTTGCTCAGGTCTTGGTTGAGCTGGAGAACAAACCGCCCGATGACCAGCCACCACCTTCTCTCCGCAGAAGAAAAAAGGTTCGCCATTTTAAAACTTATTAAATCTGAAATAAAATATTTAAATCTAGGATGCTCCGAGTCCAATTGCACTTGAGCCGTGCTGTGGGAACAAAGCAGCAGTTCTTTCTCTTCTTGTCCGTCTTCCCTCCGGCAGTCAGCAATACACACCGCCAGGACAAACAAGTCTGTTTTTCTCAAATTTTCAATTTCCTTTCAATAATAAGACTGAAATTCCTTTAGGTTTGGCCATTGCTTCGGCACTGGTGACATTAGGCAACCCTCGCAAGGTCAGCGCGGAGCCCCCAAACAAAGGAGACGCCAAAAATAAGACTCGTAAGTTTTAATTTTTTTACCAGGATTTGAGTAAAAATATTTTTTGTGTTTTTCTGCATTTTCTACGTCTTATTAATTCCATGTTGCAGAAGTGCCAAGCGGAATTATTATCTGATGTGAGCAGTAAAGTGAGTGCCCGGTGCTAATCTGAGAAGGTCGAACGCTGACTGAGCGTGTGAGGGAGCAGAATTTTTCTCCTGCGATGGCTGCCAACTGATCTTTGCCTTCTGCGACCTGCACTCGGGGTTAAATTGACTTAACGGTGATTTGGACTTTTCCGGCTCTTTTTGGGCGAATGTGATATTATCGCGTATTTTACCCTTCTGCCTCGGTTCAGTTTTGGCGCTTAAAGTTGCCAAGAGTATTTGTACTTTTATTTCAACGAATTTGAGACATTAAATAATCAAAGTTGACAGCAATTTGTATATATTACGGAATACTATCAGCCAGAAATGCCAGAATCTCTTACGAGCTTTTCCATTGAAGAATATTTTTTCACGTCGTAACAAGCTGCATCTCTTGCATTTATTTTATTTCTTTGTTATATGGTGCAATTTTTATGCGAAACGAGTTGCATCAAATTTTTTGTTATCGCAAGTATTTGGTGCCACTGCATGTCCAATATTAATTATTACGATCGGTATAGAAAAAGGTTAGTGGGCCAATACTTGTATCTTTTAAGTTAAGACCATAAGTTAAGTAACTGCAATTAATAATCTCACAACATTTCGTCCAACATCAACATTGAATTAACTGAAATGGATTAAATTGAAACAAGGCCTCATTCACATTCCAATGGAAAATTTAAGTATTTATAAATAGATTGTCTCGTGCGTTGTTTTACTTCGCGGAGCTTCAATGTCCTGGACTAATTTTATTTGCCCATCCAGGAATGACGCACAATACCATGACTATGGATGGTAATCGCTAGGTTTAATGATCATTGTTGATTGTGCAATTAATAAAATAATTGTCGATTATGTGGTAAAAGAAAGACGAAAAAATGTATTACTGATTTGATCTAGTGAATATTATTGTAACCGAATTATAAAGAAAAAAAGTGAGAATGGTTTATCTCTGTGGTGTAAGTCGCATTCTTATGCAAATAAATGTAACATTATTAAAAAACAACAGAAAAATTGTATTTTGATTCATTATAATTTTAGAATATAAAATATATTAAAAAATATGCCTAAAACGGCAATTTCAGGAAGTTCTGTTTCAAAATAATAATGAGTTCGGTAACAAAAAACCTAAACTGCTAAACAAAAACAAAATTTATGATTTTGCTTCCCTAAAAAGGGAAATTTTTACCAACAGAAGTATGATAAGTGAATAGAAAGAAAAAAGTTTAATTAAACAAAAATTAATTTCCTCTCATTACAATTTTATTATTGATCTGTATCAAGGATCTTATATTGAATATTAGATCCATGATCTGTTATATGAAATATCCAAAGTTTTAAAATTTAATTGAACCTGCGAAATACATGTTGAATATTACCAAAAAGAGTAGGAAATTTCAGTCTCTGTTTGGCCTACTATTAAAATAACACTTGTAGGCGATAGATTTTAAAATCCAATGACTTAATTATTAAATTTTTAATTCATCTTGGGTGTAAAATTTAACATGTTATAAAAAAGCTGATTATTCTAAAAGGAGGAAAAACGGAGTTGTTTTTTATATCAAATAGCGACCACAAAAGGCGATTATTTCATGCCGTCAAAGATATTACGGCGGTTCTGGTCTTCCTGGGTGCAAAAGTTGTACATATAGAGGAAAGAGCCGTTGTCCGTGGCGACAACCAAAATGGGCTGTTGCTGCAGCTCCTGCAGAAAGAAGCAAAACAGACCCAGCGCGTCTTTCAACAAAGAACCAGGTACAAAAAGTAGCATAATTAAGGTTGGCAGAAATAGTAAGGACATTTTTCCATTTTTGTCTTTCTCCGCAAAGATGCAGTGCAACAAGGAAGTAGCAACAATTACCAGACCCAGACGAGACCCAGTCTCGCTGCTCCATCGCAAAGTTTGGAATCATCTTTTTTTAGCTTTATCACTCAAGTGTTTTGAATTCTGGTTCAGATACGTTGCCGACTGCATTGGCTCAAGTTGAAGACATTGCAGGCCGCAAAGTGGTGATCGGCGTTTTCGACTACCGAGCCAAGGAGGATGGCGACCTCTCTTTCAGAAAGGGTGACAGGATGGTCGTCATTAGCGACGCAAAGTGAGAATAAAATTGATTTATAAAATCACCAATTTGAAACGTCTAAAACTTAATTTGCCAAAATTTTAGCTATTTCGACGAAGTTGCATGAAATATAATAGACCAAAAAACAGCCCTGAAACTAAATTTTCATTGGCTTTTTGTTTTCATAAAATAATTTATTTTTTTAATATATTCCACGTGGAAATAGTTTCAAATTTTTATCAAAGCATGTAATTATAAATATAATAATTGTGGTTAAATTGATAAGAAAAGAAATAGTTTTGTAGATATAAAGGAGAAAGATTTAGATCTTGTGAAACCAATGAAGGAGCATAGAAGTCATAAAATCCATCAAGGAAAACCCGATTTCAAATTAAAAATTGTATATTATTGAGAGATTGTGTGCTTTTCGCTAATATTTTTGTGTAGTGCGTTTGTTTTGTTTCTGCGTTTTAGAAGCATGATTATATTTCTTATCTCTTGATTATCAAAATATAAGCTTTTCCAATTAATACTTAAAAATTAAGTCAAAAGCCCATATTTCTAAAAATACAAAAAATCAAAATGTTGGAATTGGAATCATTTTAATAAAAACATGAAATTTTCTCTCCGCTTCAGAATTCCACACTAAATTTTTTTAAATTTAATTTTTTTTAAATTTAAATTTCAAATGTATATTAGTGTAGTGATTGACATTTTTTAAAGTACATTACTCAAAATTTTATATATAATATTTAAAAACGTTCTCCATATCCATAATGATTTATGAAAGTTTGATTATGATAATTATATAAAAAAGGCAATAATTAAAATTAATTTCACAGTCCAGACTGGTGGACAGTTCGTCACTTGGTGACCGGTCAAGACGGACTCATCCCGTCTAATTACGTTGCCGAGGAGCGCTCCATCGAGAGTGAAGAGTAAAATAAATAAATTATACTCGCTAGGAAAAAAAAATTAACAAAATTATGTGCTCAGTTGGTTTTTTGCAAACACTCCTCGAAGGGAGGCGGAAAAACTGCTCCTGGCGAATGGAAATCCCCGTGGAACGTTCCTTATCAGAAACTCGGAGCACAGCCCGACCGGCTACAGCCTGAGCGTGCGGGACGTCGAGGAAACTAAGGGTGACCATGTCAAGCACTACAAGATCAAGGCGAGCCCTGACAAAGCGCTGTACCACATCGCCGTCAACTACCCATTTCCAAATCTGCAGTCGCTCGTCCAAGCCTACAGCAGTAAGAAAACTGAACGAAAAATTGATTTTGTTAAGAAATAATTCTTTTATGAAATTTTAAATTTTTGTGCAAACTATTTTTTCTGATTTTTTTTTAACTTTTTTTTATAGAAAACTCGCACGGCCTTTGTTGCACGCTGACCCAACCATGTCCGAAGCCGCGCCCGGAAATGTGGGATTTATCGCCTTCCCACAGAGACCAATGGGAAATCGATCGGAACGAAATCAGTCTGACCAAGAAACTCGGGTCAGGAAACTTCGGCGAAGTTTGGCTTGGTAATTTTAAATTAACCACTATCGACACATTTGAGTTATGAAAATGTAAAAAAAGTTTAATTTGTCAGGAATCTTTGTTGGAAGGAATTCATTATTTATTTTTAAGTTCAAAAAGAAGAAATTGAAATTTTTTACTTTTGGAAAAGCGAATTTTACTGTTTTGCACTAATTATTCAAAGTCTTCTTGTTTTCTTTGAACATGCTTTGAACTGAACGTTAATTACTTAAAATTTTACTTATTAATTAATTAAAGTGGATCACACAAATCATATGTCAAGATTTTCTGGAAATTTTTTATTAATTGTAACAAGATATTTTAATTTATCCCCAAAATCGGAATGAATTTTTTAATATTTGTGATAATTTCTCCTAAAAATAGTTTTCAAGGCTCGAATTAACAAAATGATCTTTTCCGAAGGCACTTGCAAGAACCAACAGGTGGCCATCAAGACCCTGAAGCCAGGGTCAATGTCTCCTCAGGCCTTTTTGGAGGAGGCTGCCATAATGAAGAAGTTCCGCCACAAGAACCTGGTCGCTCTGTATGCAGTTTGCTCAAAGGACGAGCCCATGTACATCATCCAGGAGTTCATGAAAAAGGGTTCGCTGCTCGACTACATGCGCAACGGCGAGGGCAAGTGTCTGCTCACCAATGACCTTATTCACATTTCAGCACAGGTATTGTCAAAAATAGCAGCTCTTGATATCAAAGTCGAATATTTTCACCGCAGATTGCCAGTGGCATGGAGTACTTGGAAAAGCTCAACCTGATCCACAGGGACATTGCGGCCAGGAATATTTTAGTCACTGACAATAATTTGGTCAAAATTTGCGATTTTGGCCTTGCGAGGTTGATCGAGGATGATGAGTATTGCCCAAAAGCAGGTTTGCAGAATCTTAATTCATTAAATTTGAATTTTTTTCTCCACAATCCTATTCTCAAAAGAATTGATTTAATTCAAGGAAGCTAATTGAAGTAAAATCAAAATAAGAAATAAAATTTAGTAAACAATAAGATTAAAAAAAAGAAGATAAATTAATATTGGATCACTTTAAATAAAAAAATTTAAAAAAAAATTATAATAATAATTTAAATAAAGCTCAAATCCGTTTACACTAGAGTCAAAATTATTGTGAAATATAATTTTTTAAGTTAAAAAATATAAAGATATTATTTCCTATTTTAAATATGATTTATTTTATACATTTAAAGTGGGAAACATCTCTTACAAGAAACTTTTTGTATGTAGATTCATATTTTAATTGATATTCACAAAAAAATTAATATTAATTTTTGTTATCTAGGTGGTCGCTTTCCTATCAAATGGACGGCACCAGAGGCGATCATGTACAACCGGTTCACGATCAAGTCGGACGTTTGGTCGTACGGCATTTTGCTGATGGAAATCTTCACGTACGGCCAGGTGCCGTACCCTGGGATGAACACCAGAGACGTGATCGACGCGTTGGAAAGAGGTTATCGCATGTCCAAGCCGACCAACGTGCCCGTCCCGGACGACGTGTACAACGTGATGACGCTGTGCTGGGACGCGACGCCCGAAAAGAGGCCCACCTTCGACTACCTCAAGCACTTCTTCGAGGACTTCAGCGTCTCCACCGAACTCGCGTATCGCGAACCAGAAAACGTCTAGATCAAAATCTCGATCTTGCCAAACTACTTCATACAATCGAATGGAAGTCAACTAGTCCGTTTAATTTGTAAAACAAGCTTATATAATTTGTAAATACATAATACTCTTGACATAATTTTCGAGCCTGTTGCTGAAAATTCAAGAAATTTTAATTCGTTTGACTTTTTTTGGGAGAAAGAGTGTGTGTTTAAAATGGAATATGCTTTAATCTGACCCTGCATTGTAAAGTAACTTATTTTCTTATCTTTTATGAAAAAAGTATTAATGTAATTTTAACCACGCAATGCTTCTATTATTAAAATAATGAGCTTTATCAAATGAATAAAAACATATTGTTTGTTCTCATGTAAAAATACCAAATTTTAAAGCTGTATCCGTTTAGTATAATTTATAAAGAGACGTTGAGACGTCAATAATTTTTATCAATAGTATCCAACTGTTTATTCTTGTTTAGATAATTTAAAATAAGTGGGAAAAAAATTTGAATAATTTTACAAATTTTAATCAAAAGTTTGATCTTTTTCCATATAATCCGTAAAAATTTGATGGAATAAATAGAAAAATTATAAAAAAACCATGGATAAATATATAACTAATTTGCCTTGGAGAAAAATAAAAAAAATTATTGACTATCCACAATTTTTCCATAAGGAGGTATAAATTAAAATTATGATTTTTTTTCATCTTTTTTTTTGTTCAGCATTTTTTTTTTTAATTTCAGGCTACTGATATCCACTTTGTCTTGATATATTTTTTAATTTTTCACGAATATTAAATGCGACAAAATTATCTCTGCCTTAAGTCAATTTATTGAGATTTACATGCAGATAGTGCTACTTTTTAAGTCTTTGTTTGTCTTGTTTCTGCAGCGTCTAATTTGTCGAGAAAGTTAGCTGTGGCAAATTTTCTAGCTTACAATTCATACATTTTATTAATTATGAAAGAGTGTATTGAATTGAAAAATATGAAATTTGAGGCTAGACTACTTTGAATCCTAGGTAGACATCTGGGGTAGGGATTGGTTTAGGTTTACCTTCACCTCGGTCTCCTCGGTGTAACTGTTTCTCACGGTGACGGAGATGTTGAAAAGCAGGGAAATGTTTGAAACAATTCTCACGTTGATCTTGTAAGGAACGTCGTAGTCCTCCATGAGGCTGAAGTATTCAAGGCTGTGCCTCACAGGCTCAAATTTGACCATTTCCAAAGCAACCCTGAAATCAAAATTGCAAAATAATTATATACTTCAAAAATTACATTAATGGAGTCATCACATCTTGTTTAAGCCAAAAACTGCCAAAAACCTTGTTTTAGGTCGATTTAATTTCATATGAAAAGTAATACATAAAACTTGCGAAAAATTAAAATTTTGTTTTAAAGAAATTGTAAAAAAATTAATTTTCAAAAGATCTAAAAGGAAAACTAAAATAATATTTTGATTGAATTGTTCTCACTGTTAAGATAATTTTTACCTTGGCGCCGAGGCTTTCATGATGTTTCCAATGAGCTCAGCCTTTTTTTCTAGATAAAGGTTGTATTCGGTCACATTTGTGCTGAGTTTGTTCATTTGGCTCATTTTCATGACAGGTCCAGAAACGAAAACCACTCGGCGGCTCAGGTCTTTTGTCAGGAGTTTAGACTCGAAAGTTGCCAATATGGACGCGTCACTGTTGCTGAAGGAAGAGAGGTTCATGTGGACGAAGTTGAAATGGACGCCTGCAGATTTAGTCAACCAGGGAGAACAAGTGCAGGCACTGCAGTGATTGTAGAAGTGCTTTTTGAGGGTGCATGGAAAAATGCCAAAGACTCCGTGGTAGCGACAATGCACATGCTCGAACACAGTGTCCAAAATCTGGAAAAAAAAAATCAAAATAAATCCTTGTTTTTAGTGATGATTGAGAAATTATTAATTCACTTTGAATCCTGGTAAGAAAGTCAAAATTGTGCAGCAATATTGGTTAATTTAAATCGTGTTTTATGCAAGAAAAGCCTAAGAATTTTGGGAAATTTTCTTTCAGACCTTTTGCATCATTGTAATTATTTGAAATTTCAATTTTTGGTTCTAGAAGTTTTGTAAGAATTAAATCAGGAGAATCTTCATTGGTATAGTCATATGATTACAAAAAATATAAGCCATATTTGGAAATTATTGGAAATAAGTTTAAAAATTACAACCAACACTGTTGTAAAGCGACAATTTGACTTAGTCAATAAAGAAGAAAATACTTAAATCTAGAATTTTTCAAATTAATTATGAAATCGTGGCTCTCATAAATACAAACTCTAAACATTTAAACTCCACAAATATCACTAGTCATCAATTTATTTTAAAAAGATAAAATTAATGCTTGACTTACTCCTAGAAAAAGAAGAAAAATGATTTCTTAAGTGATTTGATTTTAATTTTTGTCATAAGTTCCAAATTTTGGTACAGATTCCATACATTGACAATAAAATCACGTCTTAATCTTAATTAAAAACAATGGTAGCAAATTTTAGGCAACTATGTATTTATATATAATTTATAATTATGTATTGGGAAAAAATGTAAAAAATACATTTTCTGGTCTTTCTGATTGTGAGGTCATGGCGGCCTTTGAATAAAATTTATTAATTAAAAAGCAGACTCATTGATCAGTTTTATTAATTTTTCTTAGATCTGCACCAAAAATTATGGGGAGACTAATAATTATACGATTGTAGCACCTGAGCTTTGCCGACGCCAGGTCCTCCGAGGAGAAAAATCGCCTTGACTCGGGGTGCGTTTTTCTGATTGATCTCATCAGCATCCTTCGTGGTCCATTGCAGAGCGTTGACCAGCTGCGTGGACATGGCTTCCTGGCCGGGCAAAGTATCGTCCAGGTCCTCCTTGATGCCGTCCAAGTCCCACTCGATGGTGCCGGGCAGGGCGAGTTCGCCGTCGTTGTAGATCTTGATGGCAACGACGAACAGCAGCACGACGCTGGCGGACATAAGCAGACAACGCCAAATCTGCATCTTTTCAAATTGAGAATTTTTTTGCTTTTGCTACGACGAAAAAAGTCTGCTGGGAGTTTTGAAAATTGGCAACTTCGTTTGGTTTAGGCCTGGGGTCACGAGTCACGACACGACCGATTCCTAGTGAGGAGTGAGGAGAATGAAAAAGAAGCGCGCCCAGTGTTGGTGGAAAGAGCGCGTGAACAAGTTTCAACATGTATGAGAGCTTTACAGTTCATGGAGAATAAATAATATGATTCCGTGTTATTGAACCCTTGTGCCGCGGCCGTGTGCAATTTCAAAAAATATTTCTCTATGAAAACGTTAGAAATTTTTCAGCGTACAAGATTATACTGGAATCGGGGATCAGAGTTTTAAACGCGTGTATTTTTTAACAGGCATTTTTCAATTCAAGTAAAAACAAACATAGAAAAATGAAGCAAAATCACTATTATTTCTTTACTATTACATCAATAATGACGTCAGAATATTTTGTTTGGCTATGGAGGAATCAGAACTCAAAGTTCAAATTTAATAATTATACTTTTACAAGGAAGAAAATTCGGGATTTTTTCATAGTTAATTCCCATTTGACTTGCCATTCTGACATTGAAAAACATTTTTAATGAAAATTCTATAACAAGTGTTTCTCTAACTCGCTTTTTGTGTGAACAATATAATTTGTGGTATTGACCAAGCAATTTTTAATTATTTAATAAAAGCAAAAATATGTATATTATAGAATGACTCTCTTTCTATATAAAAAAGCATAACACAAATTGAATAATCAAGTAACAATTTTGAGGATGTTTTTTCCATTTTTTTCTAACAAATTGTAGTTTTTATTACTTAATTTGGTTTTATTTTCTAGAAATATTTTGTATTTTTCTACAGTTGAATGCTGACCGCAATAGGCAGATCAACAACTCTTTAAATTAAAATAAGTCTTTAATTTTAACATCGTCCTGAACTTTTGTTATCTTATTTTTTTTCCTCGACTTTAAATTCACTTATTGTTAGAATCAACCCTCGATGGTGAAATTTTACCACAATGTTGTGATTGTGCTCGCCATCTATTTTCTTCCTCTTGGACTGAAAGGTGATAATTTGTCTTTTGAAAAATTATTTTATAAACTGTTTTTACATCTTTCTTTTTTGTCGTCTTTGCATTTAAAAAATAAAAATAACATTTATTTTTTTTAAAAATTCAGCTTTATTTTGTAAAATAACTTATGCCCGGCTGTTTCACTTTTTTTCTGAAAAACATTTCATGCTTGTGTGAGAATTTATTTCCTGGTGTTCAATAATTGAAGTCGGTTTCTTATAATGTTAAAATATTTGAAATTCATGATCTGCTCTAGCTCTATTAAAAAAATAATACGGTGACACACGGATTTTATCCTCACTTTTCTAACTAAGTAGGAAACCGCAATGAGTGTGGCATCCGCTTTAGACAGAGCCCGGCCTATATATATTATTTATTATTCAACCTTGCGTTCTCATTCCATTTCAAGTTCGCATCGGTCTCAGGTCAAAAGAAAAGCAAAATGTTCAAATTTTTCTCATCCAGTGCTAAACTTTTTGCTCTAACCATACTTCTCGCTTGTCCGTCGGTATTTGGTAAGGAAAATTCGTGCAAACTTTGCAGTTTGAGAAAATATCACATTGAGCAAGTTAATTCTAAATTAAGTCATTGTAGCGTACGGCAACCGCCCAACAGATTTCCAAGGTGGAGGTGGTGGAGTGAAAAACAGTTCCCCTCTGAAACACAAAACTTACACCGCAGTCAATTATTGGCAAAAATTATCCCCTCATCAACTGAATGAAGGTAAGCTTTTAATTAAGTTTATAAATAAAAAAAGCAATAAAAAAATTCTTAGCCCGAACTCCATCCAGCTCTAATTTGTGTTTCGAGCCGTCCTACAACTCTGGCCTTTTCACCGACTGCAAACCATTCCAAAGCCAAAATTTCCCATCCAAAGAGTCCGTTTGCTATTGCTCGCAATGCAACAAAATTTCTGTCAAATTCGTCTGCTACGAGGCAAACTGGTACGTCCATCCGGACATTTACGACTTTCCCTGCGGTAAATTTTCATTATTATTATTATTTTTGGTATATTATATTTTTATTTTTATAGACAACTGTAACGCTCAATGCCCTACGCAGAGCAATCCCAAATTCAAGTGCGAAGAGACGAAAAGTGGCGAAATCGGCGAAACTCGAAGCTGCGTTTGTTTGGACGACTGCAGACCCTACGACCTGGAATGTTCCTCAGGTGGGCAGTGGATTCAGTTAACAAACCTAGACGACCACGGCAAAAATATTAGCTGCTGTAAGTTGAGAGAAAGTTTAAAATCATATAAAAAAAGGAAACGCTTTGTTGCTTATTTTCAGATTCTCAGAGAAAAACTGTCACTGAAGGCGACCGGGAAATGGAATACCACGACGGCTTGATAAGTGTGCGGTGCAAGCCTGGATTTTACGTCAAGGGCCCGAGTGTGGTCTCATGTCAAAATGGACAAATCAACTCGACCTTGCCTGAATGTGTCAGAAACAGTGAGTAAATTATGGACACATAGAAATTTTTATAGGAATATTCAATATTTTACACAATATTTCAATTTACTTATTTTAAAAATGTTTATTTTTCAATCAATCAAACATGAAAAGAAGAAGATTGAGAATTATATTTTTCCATTATATTTGATTGTATGCGGTCTCCACTTTTTTATTAAAATAATTATTTTCAACAAAATTTTCTTGAGAATCCTAATGAAGGATTATCAAAAAGTGATTAAAAGAATGTAAACAATGATTTTAAAATTCATTATTGCAGATAATAACGTATTTGGAAGCGGCGTAGACCAATCAATTATATTTGATAACAACAACAACAACCCTTTTCGACCTGGCTTTGATCCAAACAACCCTGACTGGAACAACAACAATAACAACCCTAACTGGAATAACAACAATAATAACTGGAATAATAACAATAACAACCCTGGCTTTAACCCTAACCGAAATCCATCGCCAGGCAACAACCCAAACTTGGGTACAGGCGACATTTTGGAGCCGGATTCAAGATTTACCACTCCCCGGAATCAGCCCTTTGGATCCACCCTGCTGCACCTTCCCAATAACAACAATAAAAACGTCAAACCGACCTCTGCCTCGGTGACCAGCACCAAACCCGTCAACCGCGGCTTCGACTACATGTACATCTTGTACGCCCTCCTGGTCATCCTGGCACTCCTCGGGCTGTTGCTACTTGTTGTGTGTTTGAAAAGGTGCCATCGACCGGAAGTTGAAAAACTCGAATCCGGAGTTGCGGCCGAGGACGGAGCCACCAAAGCTGGCGCCAAGGGCGTTTACGCGGCGAAGAAGTAGAAAATTTTCATCAAATTTTAAAATAGAGAATATGTAGCCATTTATTAAAGTCATGCAAGAAGCGTTATTTATTTATTTATTTTAATATATTTCAATTGTTAAATTGATCAATTTATTATTTGCTTTAAATATATTATATTTGTGTAAAGTAAAACAATACAAAAAATATATTTTTGTGGTTCTTTTTTAATCAAATTCGTGTAGTGCAGTTTGTATTTTTAATAAAAATTAATGAACCTTAATTGAAGTATAAAATTATGTATATCGTTTTCTTCTATTAAAGTTGAGATTAAAAATGATCAAAGAAGAGTGCATTTTAGCTCATAAATGAACTATTTAGCGATATTAAATTTTTTTTTGTAAATTTCATTTATATTTCATATCAATTTTATTTTATTTTCATCACACATCTCTAGCTATATCAATATTAATATCAACAATTTCTAAAATTTAATGCGAATTAATGTAATTGAACGTAATTACAAGTTAAATAGTTTATCCCAGCATCATGTTCAGTATTCTTATGATTTAACATTGTTGACAGTTAACAGTTGATGCATAGCTCTGTAAAAAAACAATTTTATACAACGTCATATTTGAGAACTAAAATAAATAATAGTCTGTACGTCATTGCAAAAATTGAGTGATTTCTAAATTTTATTTTTTAAAAGTTTATCTAAATGACTAATTTTTTTAACCGCACTGACGAAAGGCAACCGCGCTAATGTACATCCGCAAACCTGATATTTTCCTTGTTTCAAAAGCTTTCTCATTTCATTTAAGCGCATCATCAAAGTGAAAATCATGCTCAAAAATTTCTCCTCGCATGCTCAGCATTTAACGTTCGCCATTCTTTTTGCGTGTCAGTTGATTTGTGGTAAGGAAAATATATTCAATTTAAAATTAAAATAGAAGAATTTTTAAGTTAAAAGCGAAGGGAAGCAAAGTAAGTTTAAGTTGAAATTTATTACAAATAATTTTAGTCGACGGCAACCGCCATGCATATTATCATATGGATAGAGGAGAGGAGACAAATAGCTCAAAAACTGAACAGGCAATGAAGAAGTTCCGTATAATATCACCAACTTTACAGAATCCAGGTGAGAATACTTTATTTTAAGCATTTCCATTTCTGAAAAATTCTTTTATATTATTAAAAAAATAATAAAAAATAATAATAATAATAATAGAAAATTAATTGCAAATTCTCAAGATTAAAAAAATGGTTAAAATTTGCAAAGAGTCTTTTATTAATAAATTAATATTTATCTCTACATTTTGCTAAAAATGAAATTTTTTTGTTTTTAATTTTGTTTTAAATTAAATTATGACGTTTTAATTTAATGTGAATTATTGCCTTTAATCAAATAAAAAATTAAATTAATAATGCTTAATTTACAGTTACAAATAATACAAACAAGAGATTTGGACGCGTTGGTAAACACCTATTTGGACAAGATGATGCGGTCCCTAGTGTGCTTCTGGACAACACCGATTCAAATGCCAACAGCTTGAACTCAAAAAAGTTCAAGCCCAGTCCTTATAATGATGATGACTATCCACGAGTTGATCCACCAGATTCAACCAACCCGCCGTCCAAAAGCAACACGTCGGACATTATTCTTACCACCACAACCACCTCAGTCAAACCTTACAACACGGAAGAAGACCGAACATTCAATTTCATGTATATCTTGTACGCTCTCCTAATCATTATGTCCATCATTGCACTTATTTGGGGATATCTGGTGTGGAAAAATCACCATCAGCCTAATGTGAGAAGAAGGGAAACGCTCGAATCAGGGACTCAAGTAACTCAAGTGGCTGGGGCCGGGGCCAATAAAGGCTATAAAACCGCAAAAAAATAAAGGAAAAAAAGAACCGTTGAAGAATTGTGAGGAATTTTTTGTATAAAATAAGCTCAGTGGCTAGTATAGAATAATTAATTAACATCGGCAACCATTACTTTGAATTGAGCACAAATTTGTCTAAACTTTTCTAGAATTTGCAAAATTCAAAAGACTTTTAAAGCTTTTTTTAAACAATTTTGAATTATTATTAAAGAATGAAATTAATTCCAAAAAAATTAAACTTGTAAATTTTTAATTTTACTATCCTTGAAATGAAGAGGAAAATGGAAATTTGCAGTGAGTATAAGCAGGCAAACAAAAGGATGATCATCCCTGTTGCGGGTTGAGCTGAGCAAACAATTTTGGTTGGCCAAGAGGGTTTGATTTCCAGACCATTAGTTGTTGCGTCTCGGCGAGGGTGAGAGAGAGAAAGTGCCATTCTTCGAGTGCAATGGCCCGTACGTGCCTGACAAACCAAGGGCGGTTTTTCGGCACTCGCATGCATGAACTAGACATTGACCCACTTATCTGCTCTTCAATCATGATGCCAAATTAAAGGAGATGGGAATGGCTAGAAGTATTAATTATAAGACTATTTAAATTAAAGAAAATTCGAAACTCGAAAATGAATCTCAAACGTACGTATTTTCATATCAAATTAAAAAACATAGAAAAAAATTTAGTTGGATAAAAGTTGAATGAATTTGTGATAAGTGCGCGGACTTTTAAAATCTCGAACGGCGCACCGGCAGTATTTTTATTTGGCACTCTGCAGCTGCCCGAGTTTTCATTCTCATGAATGTTTACCGTCGACTTAGAAAGGTTTACTTTGCTGAATGGCGCGCGCGATTGTGTGTGGGAGGATGCTGCCTGGATGGTGGACGCAAGGGGTGAGATGGAAAAGGGGCTGCTACTCGATTGATGGCCTAATTGAAAGTCCAAGTAGCTCCGCCATTCGCTCTAACTCGCGTTCTCACATCAGCCCGATGAAAAATCCCAACTCGCCACATCTACCACCGCGCGTTCAGTCTCAACTTTGTCAAATGCTATAAATTCAAACAAAAATTTTCAAAATTGTTAAACAAAAATTGCGTAAAATTTTCTTGCCTTAAATGCAATTTTTGTTGGTGTTTATTTAATTTTTTCGCTTTTAAATTTGTTGTTGAAGAAAATAAAATGAATATAGTAACAATTTTTAATAGAAAAATCTTAAGAAACAATAAAATCCAACTTTTTTTTATATTTTCTAATATTTACGAAATAATTATCTATCACCTCTGATTGGTAGACATCAATGTGATGGGCTACTCTAAATGCTTTAATTCCTAATCAGGCCGAGAGGAACGGGGGCGTCATATTATAACAACTCATCACTCCACTGAGATACTGTAAATTGTCTGGGGAAAACGGAGCTGCTTTCCCGTAATGGATTGCTCGTACGTTTCTGCGGATTGATTGTTGCCGCTCCCTTTTATCAACGACAATTGATGCAGCAAAATTCCCAATGGAAAGAGTAAAAAGTAAACCGTACACTCTGGTTTCTTTGCAACATCAAATAGAAACTGATATTGACTATTTTTAAAGAAGAAGTTGCATTTTGTACTTTTCACATTTTAACAACTTTTTTTATTTGCTTCTTTACAATAAAAATTTTAAATTTCTCGTGCAAATTTCACTTAGAATTGTGTCTGAAATTTTTTAAATTTCAGTATTTATAATACATTTTGTTTATTTTGAGTGATTATTGAAACAAATACATTTCAAAATTTATTTTGCAATACAAAATTATTCAATTTAAAATCATCATTGACTTAAATTCTATCTGCACCTGCCCATTTTGATAGAGGAAGGAGAACAAAATATGTAAAATTATGACCGTAGCAAACGTCAATTATGAAAAAGTGAATAATTATGAAGCTTCAATAAATTTCCAGCTTTTGTCGAAAATTCTATTTTCTCGTGAAAGAATTTGAAATAAAATAGGGAGGTCGTTGTCAGCCGTTAAAAATGTATGAGGCTTGTGACGTCAGCAGCGCTGTTTGAGTTTAACGAGATTTCTGCCGTTTGTTTTATATTGGCTGGAAACGAGGTGCCGAGCGTGGCAGATTGGCCGGCAGCCGCTGCTGCAATCGAGTTTGCCCTTCTTCTTCGAGCAGCAACAGGCGAGATCCGCACCCTCTCACACACCGACTGGCATAATACTCCGTCGGAGATTTCATTCAATTATGCCGGCGCAGTGAATGGAGCTGCTAATTTGAAAGAGATGCGGCGCCGCCGAGCAGCAAATAAGCAAAATCAGAAAGCAAAGCAACCGTATCTGAGGAAAATTTCATTTGAATGGAAAGATCGAGAGGAAATTGTAATCTATGAACAATAAATTGAAGCACAGATTAAATTTTATTGAAAAAAAAAATTATTTGCAAGAACTTCCAATTATTTGCATCATTTATTTTAATTTATTGTTTTATAAACTTTAAAAAAATATATAGTATAAATTGATCATTTTCACACACTAATTTCCATGTTCAAATAAACCACGTGCGTTATTTTTCCTGTATGAACCGTAAATTTTTCTATAACGTTGTCAGAAAAAGTGAATTTACATTGAATATTTTGTTTTCAAATCTATTTCTCTGAAATAAATTTAGCTTAAAAAACTTTTTAGGTCATTCAAGTAATCGAATTCTCTTCAAAATTGTGAGATTCATTTTATTCTATGATGCATTTCTTTATTTGCACAAACAAATTTATTCATTTGTCAATCTGATTAGATAAAAAATTATATAATAAACTTTTCCTCGCTCTCTTCTGTATGTACTTCTGGTCGGTTCCTTTTTGAAGTAAACACGTTCGAGTAATCAAATCTGTGAGAATTTATCTTTGATTTTGCGCCGATCTCAGTAATTGAAGGCGGAGAGCTTTCCCCATTTTCTTCCATTCTCTCTGCGTATGTGCGCCGCTTCGCCCAGCCCAGACGAACCCTATAAAAGGGGTGAACTGTCTCCTCCGCGGCCGCACTCTCCAACGCGTACCAGCGCCACAATGTCTGCCTCCGGAAAGAGCCTCATTGGTCTCTGGCTGTACAGAAAGGGCGAACAATGGACACTCAAAGAGGTAAAAATTTGATTTCTAGCCACAAAAGTAATTAAAAACTTGAAAATTAGAATTTTTCTTAATTGATATCCCAGTATTTTTTTTTTTATATATTTATGAAATTTATTCAATCTTAAAATCTTTTCATAGTGCCTGATATTTTAAAATTATGCAGCTAACGTGACATGCCTGTAATGCAAGTTGCATACCTCAAATGTAGCAATTTTTTACGTTTTCCTACTATTATTTTATTATGTAACAATATGACGCTTTGGTGAATTATATTCCTAATCTGCTAGCCTTTTAAATGTTATAAAAAAAATTATTTTCATGTTTAAGGGGATTTGAAGATTTAATGTTCAATTAATTTTTGAACAATCGCCTAATATATTATAGTTTTTAAAGAATCAAAAAATTTATTTTAAATTTTTACTTTTCCTGTAAATGCTTTTCTTAGATTGAGAATTGCAGTTTGACTTGATTCATTTTTATTTGCTAAAAAAGAATTGTAATTTGAAGTAAAAATCAGAAATAAATTTTAATAGAAGGTACTGGAGTTTTTTTTAAGGAAAATTATTTTGAAGAGTTTTTTTTTTCTTTTTACAAATTAGGGTGGTGGCAGCCCTCGCTTGAAGGCGCACCCGACGCCCCTGGTGCTGGAGCGGCCTCCGGACGGCGTGCACCGCAACTCTGTGGTATTTTCGCTCAACAACCAGGTGGGCGGCCTCGCCAGGGCGCTTCATGTGTTCGAGGACCTCGGCGTCAACGTGGTGCATATTGAGTCGCGGCCGAAGGAATCGTCCTCGGACGGACAGCAATATGAGATTCTGGTGGACGTCGAGTGCGACGACCGCCGCATGGAGCAACTGGTCACCATGCTTCGCCGCGAGGTCGCTTCCATCAACCTGACGCGTCCCACCAACCCTGAGTTCGACTTACCTCCACAGACACCACTCTCAATGTCCGCCAGTTTTGGTGAGTACTAAAATTTATAGAAATATTCTCATTTGTCAATGAAATATAATAAATATTTGGATTTTTTTTTTAATTTTTCAGTTTTCTAGAAAACTAAATAATTAAAAACGAAAATTATGAGTAAACACTGGTTTTGAAAAACTTTCATTTAAAGGGAAAAGGGCTAGCAAAAATAATTTTCAAATTTATAAGAATAAAATAGAAGTTCTTCTCTAAATATGTTCAAATTAATCACAATTATGTAACTGTTTTAATTTAATTATTTATGTAACTTTTGGCGACAAACTATTATTCAACACATCTTCCTAATTCAATTTAAATTCTAAGATTTTGGAGACATGCCATGGTTCCCTCGGAAAATATCCGACTTGGACAGAGCCCAGAGAGTGCTGATGTACGGCACTGAATTGGACGCTGACCATCCCGTAAGAACCCTCTTTTAAATCATCCATCCCCCTTTTTCCTAGCGTTTGTTTTAGGGATTTAAAGACCCGGTGTACCGCAAAAGGAGACAGGAGTTCGCCAACATCGCCAATTCCTACAAATAGTAAATCCAAACTTATTGATTTCGTTCATTTTTCAAAGATATGTTTTTAGTGGAGAACCGATTCCTCGGATCCAATACACTCCCGAGGAGGTTAAAACCTGGTAAATTTACTTGAAAAGCAGAAGGAAAATATTAATTTGAAAATTTTTTCAGGGGGGTCATTTTCCGCGAGCTGACTTTGCTGTACACAAAACACGCGTGCGACGAGTACATGGAAAACTGGCCGCAGCTGGTTAAATTTTGCGGATACCGAGAGGACAACATCCCTCAACTGCAGGACATCAATGTCTTCTTAAAACGTAAATATTTCCAGATGGAAATTCCATGGAAAGAGAAAGATTTAAATTTTCAGGAAAAACTGGATTCCAAATTCGACCTGTGGCTGGCTACTTGTCTCCAAGAGACTTTCTCTCTGGATTGGCTTTCCGAGTTTTCCACTGCACCCAGTACATCCGACACTCATCGGATCCGTTCTACACGCCAGAACCGTGAGCAAAATTAAAATTTAAAATAAGTTAAATAAGTAAATACGAAAGGTGAAATTCGGAAGTTTCAGAGTCCAAAGTTTTAATGCAAACCTCTGCCAAAACTCAATAATTTATTTCTTTACAGATGATTATGTTTAAATTTTATAATTTTCCAGTATATTTTAAATTTTATTGATTAATATATCTGCCGATTTCTGCAATTTTTTTTATAATATACTTAATACTTTTGAAAAGTTTAAATAGTGTACTTTGGCAAAGATTGCCTAGAGAAATAATCAAGATAATTATTGCTCTGAAATTAAATATATAAATGTATCACCAGTGATTGCTGCCATGAGCTTTTGGGCCACATGCCCTTGCTAGCGAACGCAAGTTTTGCCCAATTTTCCCAAGAGCTCGGGCTTGCCACCCTGGGAGCGTCTGACGAAGATGTGTCCAGACTGGCCACGGTATTGTATAAACTTAATTTAGAGAGAGGAATTTAAAATAGGAAACTTTCAGCTCTATTTCTTCACGGTTGAGTTTGGACTTTGCCGCCAAAACGGAGATTTCAAGGCACGATTTTAATTTACAATTTGAGGATTTTTTTAATTATCATAATATAGGTTTACGGTGCTGGTCTATTGTCATCGGTGGCTGAGCTGAAACACGCACTCACCACGCCGGAGAAAATTTTACCCTTCGAACCAGAGGTCACGGTCAATGAAGAATGCATCATTACCTCTTACCAAAATCATTACTTCTACACCGACACCATTGAAGAGGCAAAGGAAAAAATGAGGCAAGAATTGGCGTTAAAATAATTACGTTAATTTTTCTTTAGAAAGTTTTATGATAAATTTAATTAATTAAAATTTATTAATTTCAAAATGGTAGTTTTATTATAGATTTTTTTTTATTAACTAAAATAATTTTATAATCTGAATTTTTCTGAATTTTTTTCTTCATTTCCAGAGAGTTTGCTTGCAACATCCAGCGACCATTCATGGTGCGTTACAACCCTTACACGCAGAGCGTCGAGGTTTTGAGCAACGCTGAGAAAATCGCCTCGCTCGTTTCCGAACTGCGGGGCGAGGTTTGCATCGTGAGCAACGCCCTGCGCAAGATCCACGTGCAGGACGAGGAGGACGACCCTGGCAGCATGGAGCAGCTGGCCACCCTTTTGCTGCCACGCTCCATCAGCCCCGCACCCTTTCACAGCCCTCTACACACTCCAAACACCACCCCGCCCGAACACAGCCCCGAAAGGAAGAATTGAGAATAAAAACCTTGAAAACTTAGCAAATTTTAATTTAAATTGTTAATAGCTATTAAAAGATTTTATATTATATTATTTATATTCGTTAGTTTAATTATAAAACTACGACAATAATGACAGGAAAAAATCGTACGAAAAATTGATCCTGTGTAGATTTTTACAGCTGCTTAATTTTTTTATTTATGATTATGCATAATCTGCTGGAAACGATTTGGCAAGTTGTTTTCATTGCTTCCAAAAGTTGTGTATGACAAAAGACATTAAAGTGTGTGCGTAGCAAATTGCATCTTTAATGTTGTTTTATTTTCACCTTCAAACTACAAACAGTTCCTAAAGCAATAATTTGATGTGTGCATAATTCTTTTGTAGGATTTTTAAAATGCTTACAATTAATATCTTAATTTAAAATATTCCTTATTTAACATTTTGAAATTACTCTTTGCCGCTTCTTGATTCCTCATTTGAATTTTATGTATGTATCATACAAATTCAAAAGATTTTTGGAATCGGTACAGAAAAAAATATTTTTTCACTTACCTTTCGAGACGATAAACCAGGGCTGCTGAAACTCTCCATCTCAAATTCTTCAGATTATCAACGCAGTGCATGGAAAACAAAAAATTTAGGTTGCTCAGGATTACAACAACACTAATAAACCAATGGATCATCCCAGTCATCTAAAATCGGAGCACAGGTAGATTCTAAGACGAAACACTTGTGAAATGAAACGTTCAAATGTCCTAATACAATACATTAGAGCTTTTTGCAAGAGCAGGGGCCAGGTGAGGTTGCTCTTTTCCTCAAACACAAAAAACAATAACAACTGAACTGCAGAATGCAGAACTGACAACTGAACCTGCTTCCAGGACTTGAGTCACTGGAGATGCAACGTAGAATACAAAGACCATCCCCCCCTCTAAGCAACGTTGCAATTTATGCGCAGCTTTTTTAGTGTAAGTAAATAAGTAATAAAGAGAAGATCCAACTAACAATAAGCGCTCATACAGCACAATACATATAATTATAAATATTAATTGACAATTTCACACCATTATTATATGATAATTATATTATTTTTATTATGTACAAAATAATTAGCAACAAAGCAACAACAACAAAAATATCTATTGAGAATTTGATTTTGCTCAAAAAATGGGAATAAACACCAGTTTCACTTTCACTACACTAAAGTATTTCATTTAATTTGTCTAAGAATCCGTAATCCTTCAATATTTCTCTGTATCTCCCTCTCAAATTTTTCTCTGATGTAAGAATTATTTAGAGAGATTTTTAAAAAAAACCACTATTAAAAGTTTTTTCATTTTAATTTTTTTTTTAATAAACTTTTTCCATTATTCAATAAACCTAGCAAAGTCTGTAAAATTTTAAAATAGAAAGTTATGCTTCTAAGATTAAGCTGTATGAAGACAAGTCTTTTTATATTGGATCTGTAAACTCTAAAAGTACTCTAGATTAAAAAGAAAATGCAATGGCATATATGGAAATAAAGTTAATACATGGTAAATAAAAATGTTTAATTATTATCAATATTTTTAATTTATGTAATTTGTAGCGCTTTCTTGATTTTTTTTCAATAAATATTCCCGGAAATTCCAAAGACATGCGCGTAATTTCAGTGCTGCTGCTGCCGGTTAATTTATCTCTCGTCGCACTCGGGGCGGCTCTCGCTCGCTCAACGCTCCCGTTGCTCTCATTGTCAGAGCGACGCGCGAGTTGGCCAGCGGGCTCGGAGTGGTGCATGGCCCACGCTGCAAGCCATGCCAGAGGACCAGCATTTGATCGCGGACAAGAGCGAAGAGGGCGGCTCCAAGTCCACGGCCAAACGTCTCCTCTCCTTTTTTGCAGCCGTCCGGTGTAACCAAGTCTTGAGATCGGTGCTCGGGCACCTTTGTCTCTTTAGCACGTTGGTCATCTACACTGGTCTCGGCGGTTTGGTGAGCATAATTTTTTTTAATTCGCATTTACACTTAACCATAAAAATTATTAATGGCATCTTTTTCGTAATTTATTTGAAAATTATTTCATTTCACAAAATTTAAATTTAAAAAAAGTCAATTATTTTGCCGTATAATTTGTTAAATTTCTATGGTGATTTCATGAAAAGCTTTACCTACAAAATTTTCACCTCTCTTTTGAAGAAGATTTAATTTTTGTGTATCTCTCAAATTTACAGTTCAATTAGTTTAACCAATTCAATTTAACTAAAAATAGCATTGAAAGATATAATGAAATAATTTTTTCCCGATAGACAAATATGATGATTTTTTTTTATCACTTTTATACATTTTTACAAAACATGAAACGCTGCACGTTGTTTTTTTAGTTTTTTTTTCGTGTCAAGTAGTTATTTTTGTTGTCACGTAGGTATAATTTAAATGCCACATCCAGTTATTTCCATTTAAACGAATGAGATTTTCTATGGGAGCAAAAATTTTGCACCCGTTTTAAAGACAGTGCTGATTTTCTGCTCCATTTAACCAGAGCCTTTTGAAATGGAAATTCTTTTTAAATGCCATTGTCGCTGGATTCGTCGTCGCTTTCAAACTGCCTCTCCAACACGCTTCACTTGATTTTAACTTCAGTAATTGCAATGTTCTTTTTCAATGTGGAAAAAATTTAATTTCCTTGACTCACGAATGAAATATAATTTATGCACCTGCAAAGGGGGTGTTGTTTGCGAGTGTGAATTAGGCATGCGAATTGCTCCCAACTTAACTCGCGGCAAGGCTGTGGTTCTGTAACTTGTATATCTGCCCACTTTATCGGCACTTGTGCCTTAGAAACGTAAGGGGCACACGCAGCTAGCGCAAACTTTTAAAATAGCACACCACCGCGTTTTCTGATTTCATCTCTGAATTTCAAGCTCTTAAACAATAAATAATAATCGTGACTTGGACTGTATGAAATAATTTATTTCCGCAGGAATAAACTTGAAAAGTAAAAAATGGAAAGGGGGTTTAATTATTCAGCTTTGGAATTTGTTCCGTTAAAATTATAAATTTTTCAAACTAATTTAATAAGATTTTTTTCTTTCAAAATTCAGTTGTCTTACAAAATAGTTTTTTATGTTTCTATAATGAGTGATAATTTTTTCACAAATTCAATAATTGCATATTTACATAGGGATAAAATACTACATGTGCGTGTTTCCCTTTTCGTGTCCAAATAGATGCATTATTATTATTTCCTACATTGGCATGATAATAGTGCTATAAAACTGGGATTTATTATTATTATACACAAGCCTGCCTGCTTTTCCGACAGACACGCCGTTACAATTTTATACTGTTCTCTGAAATGTAGCCGGGAAAGTGTAAATTTAAATCAGCAGCCGCCTGCTTAAAAAAGTGCTGCATGCAGAAATTTATGTTTACGCGCATGGAAACAAGAGTCGAGCGCATCTCTGCACTGGGGAAACGTTAACGCGTCGTTTTGTTTAATTAATTTTATTTACACTTTGATTAATGGGCGCTAATCCCAGTGGGACGAGAACGTGATGTACTCACGCTCGACAAATATTTCTTTTGTAAATACTAAAGAAGGAAATTAGAAAAGCATAAAAAAATATCAACTTTAAAAAATGTTTTTTATTTAACAATTTATTATTTTCCTTTTGCTCATGGAAATTGATTTCAAGTTGCAAAAAAATATTCATTTATTTAACTAGTTTAGGTCTAACTATTGATTTTATTTAAATTGTAAAAATCTCCATTTAAACATTTTGCAGGTTTTTCGAGCCCTCGAGAGGCCAGGCGAGGTGACGCGAGTTGCCGAGGCGCAGAACTTCCTCTGGGACCAGCGACTCAGCTTCATCGCATTAATCTCCAATTTCAGCGGCTCTTCCTCCTCGTTGAATTTTTCCTCCTTCCTCAGTTCGCAGCTCGCCGACTATGAAGAGTCGATTTACATTGCGGCCCAGCAGGGCGTTTTCCAAGTTCCCCGCGAGCAGCCCGACGTCGAGTCGGCGGCCGAGACAGCGGGCTGGGGTTACCTGCACTCGGTGTTCTTTGCCTCCACCGTATTAACCACCATAGGTAAATTAATCATGTTTGACAATGGATTAATTTGAATTGATTAGTTGTGCGCATCCGTGGGAAATTGATTATTGATTAGGCTGACGGTCTAGTTAATAACAAACGCGCTTCTTCTATTAGTTAAAATAAACAAAGTGGCTTGCATAATCCTTTGATTAATTGCTAACCTTTCTATGAATATTGATAATACATTATTAATTAACTGAGGTGAAAAATCGAATAATAGTGATATGCTAGTTCTGAAAATTTCCAGCTCATATTTAAAAAAAAAATACTGCTGAGATAAGAATTCCTTAATTTGCCAATTTTTGCCAATTCTCTATTAAACAGCTAGCATAAGAATAAATTTTTTGTAGTTTTGAATATAAATATATATATATATATATATATATATATATATATATATATATATATATATATATATATATATATATATATATATATATATATATATATATATATATATATATATATTCAAAACTACAAAATCTATTTTTGAAATAATTATTATAGTTTATTCTACCCAAGTCAATATAAAAAAAGTTGAAATGGAAAGAAATATCGATAGATACGATTATTGAAAGGATTAACTCATACACTCTCTTTAGAATAGCAAATTCACTGCAGGTTTATGGTTTAATAAATAAATCACGATTTAAATTCAAATATAATTCAACTAATTCATAAGATCAATTCATAATAATACTACTTTTTAATCCAAGATGATCAACATGCCGAAAATTCGGCCAGGGATTTCCCTCGATTTGACCAATGTGAATTTCTCCATTAATACCTTCGCATATTGAAAAATTAACTTTTTGTAATTTAAGTAGCACAGAAGCAATCTCATCTTACTGAAATGCGTAAGATAATGAAAAAGGAAAATGATTCTCTCTTACAAAAAAATTCAATGCAGGTCTAAATTAAGTATTATTTTTCTTAAATTAGAATACAGCTTTAAAAAAATCCCTCATTCTGATTTCTAAACTAAAATTTTTAATTATTCCAATTGCTTCTCAGAGCGATTTAAATGGTGAAACGAGGTCTTTTAACTTGATACTTTGTCCTCTTAATTTGACCGACCGACCGCACGCAAATTCCTCTCGAAGGAGAGATCAAGAGGGTTTTGTGTCGAGTTTTCAAGCCTTTTGTTTATTATCTTTCTCTCGCCGCGGCCGCCGCTCTACTTCCAGAACAAATCCTTTCGCGCACATTATATAGAGAGGGCTATTTTCGCCCTGCTCTCTTGCAATGATTAGACCGCACGCAGCACACTATGTGTGTGACCGGCGCGTGTTTTACGGCCTTTTTATGCTGCAGACTACACTATCCACACTCTTTTGTTAACAAACTAAAGAACCAGTTGCGCTGCACGCTGTCCGCAGGTTACGGGAATGTGGCACCTGTCACTTTTTGGGGGCGCGCCTTTTGCGTGGTGTTCGCCCTCGTCGGCATTCCGCTCACGCTGACTGTGATCGCCGACCTGGGCAAGATCATCGCCTCGTCGCTCGGCCAACTTGGAGAATTACTCAAGAAAAGGGTTAGCTGCATTCGCCATCTCTTAGCAGGTTTGAACAATTTTTAAAATTAATGTTAGTCAGTTTTTATAATTTCGTTGCAAATTTTAACACATTTTTTTGAAAATCTTTTTAATCCAATATTGTATCCAGTTGAGCTTTCTAGAAAGGGACTGTAAAATAAATTTGAGATTTTAATAAATTTTACTAATCAAAATTGAAAAAAAAAATCTATTTTCAAAGGTAAACTCTAATGGACGCTGCAATCCAGAATTGTCAAAAATTATAAACCAGTTTATTCAATTATGTTTGGAGCTCAAATAAATAAATAAATATTTTTTCGCAATAATTAAATTTAAAATTTGCATGCTTTTTACGGTACACTCTATCAAACTGCCATCTCACCAGAGTGAGAATTTTTATCTTAATTACACTTAATGAAAACGCGCGTGCTTGTAATTAGTCGTGTTTGTACAGGGGCGCACTGCATTATTTTTGGCGTGGCTCTTTCGCCGGTCGATATACAAAGTACACGGCCCTATACTTCTCAGACACACAGCGTAATGCAACGCACGCGTATGCTTTAATTATGTTTCCAAACACGGACGTATGTGTCCTCCGGCCGTTGAAATTGAAGAACCGACAGCTTGTTTATTGACGCGTGAAAGCAGCCAGTTTGCTTGCACTCGTGCGAACGCCTGATTTTGCCGCGCTAGGCAACCTGCGCCACATGCCACTCGGAAAACAACTTTTTCTTTTTGCTTACAGTGGGAAATTTGATGTTGAGAAAGGAAAATAATGTGCATTTTTTCGCCACTGACAGTAGAGTTGCAAAACTTCATTGCTTTGGTTTATTTTCTATTCAGTCAATATCTTAATATTTGCGTATAGCTTTCTTATCAAAGAATATTTTTATATTCAATTATTATATCATGCAGTTTTTTATTTATTTTTTTTTACAATTTTGGTTTGTTTATATTAGTTTCTTAATTCTTACTGTTTTATTCTTTGAAAAACACATACAAAATAATAATAAGTGGTATGGAATTTTTAATGAAATCTTTTTTACGTATCCTTTTAAGAGCAACATTAGCGAAAATAGCTCTTCCCCATTTATCTACAACTCTTGTTTCTCTTCGGAGAATTGCCTAGACAGCAACTGTCTAAACACTGTCAAGAATTAAACTAATTTTATCTGTGTTTTAACTTTCTTCTTTGAACTTTTCCTTGAAGTTAAAAAACAAATAGTTGCTTTTAGCTGATATTTAACGATGCATTCAAAATACCAAAAATAAAACAAAATATTAATTGTTTCAGACGACAATTCAAAAGGAAATGCAGGGCTTGGGGTGTGCATCAAATCAATGTCCTTTTTGTGCGCCATTTTCCTCCTCCTGATGTACATTGCAGCTGGAGCTGCTCTTTTTACTGTCTGGGAAGACTGGACGTTCTTCGAAGGCTTCTATTTCTGCTTCATCACAATGACTACAATTGGATTTGGAGATTTAGTTCCACGTATAATATAAATTTTGAATTAAAAATATTAAAATCATTTTAAAAATTTTTAAGGCGAACCAGACTACATGTTGATCTGCACCGTTTACATTTTGGTCGGCCTGGCCATGACGTCGACAATAATTGAATTGGTGCGCAGACAGTACGCCCAGTCGTGGAAGCGCATGAAGGAACTGACGGCGCACCTGCAGAACCTCTCAGGGCCCATCACGGACGCCCTGAAAAAAATCGATTTAAGCCGAGCTTCCTCCACCATTGATCTTAGCGTCCTGACCGAGCTCAGAGAACTGAAAAAGACCCTGGCCCTGACTCAGCTGGAGACCAAACTCCGGTTTCCGACGAGAAACAAAAAGGGCAACGAGTGGCAAAAAGAGGTCGAAGCGGCAATGCAGGAAATCGTGCAGCTCTCGGCGCCCCCCAGAAAAGTGCACACCATTGTTATCTACGAGTCTTCAGTTTGATTTTGTATTGATGGTTGTCCTTAATAAAATTTTTATTTCAATTCAACCCAAAATCTTATGATTACTCATTAATTTGAAACAAATTATTTAAATGCACAAAAGAGAAGCTTTGTTTTCTAATATTAATTATAAATTTAGCAAATAGCCATAAGGTGTATTATAAAAATAATGTGATTTTGAAATAATAATAGGTACACAGTTAAAAACTCACAGAAACAAATTAAATTTTGGTTAAAAATTTTGTTTTATGGTTTTCTTGAATATTTCATGATGAAAATGACCTAAATTCTACGGTTTTCCATATCATAGAAATTCCAAGACAATAATTTATTAAACTGCGTAAAACAGCGTTTACTTCAAAAAAGCTTCATATAATATTTATTTTATATGATCTCAATTTGAGAATAGAAGGCGCGTGTAATTATTAATGCAATTTCCCATAAATTTAAAAAAAAATACAAAAGCGCTATTCAGTTGCAAAATGTTCACTTGATCTCTGCTTTTACCATGTCAGTTTTTAAGAAAGTACAACACTAGTTTGGGCTCAACAAGCCATGGAAAAGTAGATGTAAAAAATTTCAATCTAAAATGCATTGATATTCTATTTTCCACAAAACCCCCACAAAAAGTTTAATGTGAAATCAAAGGAAACCTGACCAGCTTACTAAATAAAAAAGCCCCAAAAAGTACATGATATTCCATTTCATTCGATGCCATTTGTTGAATCGCGATTAATAGGTTTAGTTGTTATTACATTAATTTAATTTATGGGAACGCGTGTTTTGAATCTTTTAGCAGGAGATTATTTTAAAATATTAAAGGCGCTACCGATATAGACGCACATGCAGGCCGAACAAAAAGATTTTAAGCCGTTCTACAAACTACCCTAGAACGTTTCTCAAAAAGCAAGGGTATCTACGTTCAGGGACCATATGGGCTGGATGTGAGGATGGCTGTGGTGGCGACGGCAGTGGTGAAGAGGAAGATCCACAGCAGCACTCGGTCGCACACGAGCGCCACTTGTTTCCACTCGCGCGCTGCGCCTTCACACCGCTCGCGGTCCATCAAGCGCGACTCGTTGCGCTCCAGGGCTCTGTTGATTTTTTGCAAGGTGCCCAGGAACTGACCCTCCAAGCTTTCTGCTCGATCTAAATCAGGAAAGGAATTTCATGTTTAAAGAAGTGAAAAAATTATCATTTAGTGAAAAGAAAATTATTTCAATTACTTATTGCTCTTCTCGTCACTCGCTGAAATTTACTGCAAAATTTTATTTTTGGATATTTAAAAATGAAATATTATATTTTAGTTAATTAAATTTATTCAGGGTGTTTAAAAGGGGGGACTGCACCACCCGGAAGTTAGCTACATGAGAATGTTATTGAATTGCAATGAAGAATTCAACATTTAAAAATAAATGTGGTTTATGAACATTTACTTAATTTAAGATATAAAGAGCTCTCTAATTGACACTTTTAAGTATACATGTTTAAAGCTGTCCTTCAGGCTCTGAAATAATGTGTCGCACCTGCATAATTATGTTTGGCTCTCAGTATTGATTTGAGCAGGAAATTTTGATAAGTCACCTTGGCTAATGGAAATGGAGTCCCTGCGCTTTCTGCAGGGCGCAAAGAACGGCGAGAGATTGCTATCGCTGGACTCGTGGTCATTATTCTGCGCACGGTTGTCCGATTTGCTGAATGAGGTATCGATTTGACGGTTTGCTGCTCTTGCCTCCTCCTGAAACTGAACCGTATAATTTTTTTCAATGATAAATAAAGAAACCGGAGAACAGATCACATTTGTTGACACTCCTTTGAAAAAAATTCTCACCTCCCGTCTTGGTCCCGGAACGGATTGATGAGGGGAATTAGGTGCTTCCAGAACGTTACAGTCCATAAAGACGATTCGCGCCAGCGGACCAAGCACCAGACGCTTTACCCACATGGGAACGCGAATGCCGTGAACTCCTCGGTGGTACACATTCAGGGAAATAACACTTAGACCGCAGGCGAACGACACAAGGCAGATGCTCACGCCATAATAAACACCTGCATTGAAAAAGGTAAAGTAATCGCATTTTTTATTTTTATTTAAAGCATTATTTTCTGATTTGACTTCATAACATGTGAATAACGACAAGTGCGGAGTTTCTTCTTAGACATAAAAATATGTTTATAACTCAGTGCAATTTCTGGAATACCCTGATTTATTAAAAAAATCATAAAATGATTTTTGCTAATTATTACGTTAATACACGTAAATATTATTAGGTAAGAGTTAACCTTAATTTTAGTACATAAAATAAATTTCTCAGATTCAACCTGGCATAGAAGACAAATGTGGACAGTAAAATAAGCGCCTAATAAATTTTAAAAATTTGAAGCAAAAATTTAATTTAAAAATAATTTATCATATCTGAATGACATATTTTGTGCAAAAAAATATGTTAGCTTACTTATGAGCGGAGTTTTCTCAGTAGGTGGTAGGCTCTCGCGGATGGTCATGAGAAAGACGGTTGTGGAAAGCAGCGCAGAGATACCGAGCGTCACCTTCTCTCCACTTTCAGCAGGCACATAAAACACAAGCAACGCTGCAAATCGGAGATTTTATTTTTAATTTTAAAATTAGTTCTTTGTTAATTTTTAGTATAAACTCACCAATTGCGTTGATGAGCATGCAAGGTAGAATAAGGTTGAAGACGTAGAAGAGTGGCCGTCGGCGGATGCGAATAGTGTAAGTGATGTCAGGATATGGCTCTGGGCAGCACGTGTAAATTTTCTCATGTCGCTCAGCCTCATAACTGATCAGGTCGAACTCGCCGTTTGGCTGGTAGTTGCTAACGTCACCGTGTTCTCTTATCAATTCCAAGTCAATCTAAATGCATCGTTTTAATTTAAATGTAAATCTTAAATTTTAAGAACATTTTAAGCAATAAAAAACAATAAAAGTAATATTATTTAAAATCAGATTTTTGTTATTAAATTACCTTTTTTCATAAAAAAAACTTAGATAGATTGTTAAAAAAAGTAAACGAATTTTGTGCTTTCTTATTCTATATCACATTGAAAATTTAAAAAAATCAATGCTCTTGTGGGAAATTTGCATGCGTTGATGCGTTACCAAATTTTTAATTCGTTTTTAGTTTTTACTTTTCTATTAAGCTTCTATTGTTTGATAAGATTTTGTTTTTAATTAACTCACCTGATTACCATCATAGCTCCAGGAAGCCCATTTCATTTGGCAGCTTTGGACATCAAAGGGGAAGTACTCAACGTTGATGTCGCAAGTGCTATGAAAGATTCCGTGGCTAAGTAAAAGCATCTTTCCGTCGCTATACACGATCACGTTGGTGCTGATCACCGCGCGGCTGTACTGAGAGTCCGCGCTTTTAAGAAATAAAGAAAGAAAAAAATTTGGTCAATATTTCCATTAGAAATTATTATAAAAATATACTTGTCGTAAAGGATGATGTCCGGAGTCCAGACCTGTTTGTGTGGGATTCGGACAACTTTGATTCCGGCGAATTCGGAGGCGTTCCATTTGAGATGGTGGTCCATCCAGGTATACGACATCCAGCAATTTGTCGTAAGGATTTGGTTTTTCTCATCCTGTGTGTAAATTGGAGTTTATTATAGACCAGCAATAATTTGATTTTTGATCCTTTTTATCTTTGAGCACTACGCAGTTAGGCAACCCGCACGTTTGGAGAGACGAGCAGGTTGCCTTACGCTGGACAAGCAGGCGCTAAATTATAATAATTATAATAATATTAATAAATTAAAATAATATAAAGTTGAGAACGCTTCAAAAACTCTCTATTGGGACATTGTTCCTGTTTGAAAAAAGTTTAAAATGGAGAAATTTATATCGATAAAATATTTAAAACATGTTCATTAAAAAAATAATTTGAATGTGATATAAAATTTAATTCGGATTAAGAATCTGTTTGGTAAGTTTAACGTACAACGTCAATGATGTTGTGAAGGGCGATGCTTATACTGACTTTGAGCGGCAAAGAGCTGTTCTCGACAGGTCGTACGGAGGCATCGTAGTCAGTCATCAAGTGCCGCGTCAGTCGATACTCACTTTCATCGGCGCTTCCATGTACCACCCCTAATGCATATAAAAAATATAAGGTTCTCAGAACTAAGCAGCCAGTTTCATTTTTCTCACCTTGAAGCAGTAAAGCGATTACGCGTATCATTAAAAGCCGCCAGCCCAGTGAGAACTCCATTCCTGCCCCCAATATTTACTCATCAACATCAAAATGCTCGCAAGAAAAAAAATATTTTATTGAAATATTTGATTGCAATCTATAAATGTTTAAATTTTCAATTCTTCCTTTTATCATATTCACGAACTCCACGATTAACCCCACAAATACTAGAACCAAATGGACAAAATGAATATTCATTTTGTCTATTTAATATTTATTAAATTTTTTATAATCATCAATTTTAAAAGTCACCATCAGAAATTGAAATCCTCATTTTTTTCTATAATTTCAACAATGCAAACGGTGGATATAGTAAAAAACTTCCTTATATTTTTCTCCTTCTTACAGTTTTTATAAAACAAAAGTAATATAAAAATTTTATAATTATATTTTGAAAAAAAGTTCATTTTCATAATTTCTTGAAAAGCTTCTTGTATTGTTGTCACACCCAAAATAATAAAACTGTGTAAATTTTTATTTGATGCAGTGCATGGTATAAGGTATCGTGCTATATGCTATTTATGCTAATGCATAACTTATATTACACTCGTAGCAACCATATGAGAGCCGCGCCCATTGTAATAAAACAAGGTGACACAATTAACAGCAAATAGGCTCTATAATATCATTTAAAAAAACACGGTCATGGAAAACTTGCACCTCACAATCAGTGGAATTAATAATTGTGGCGAATTATTTATAATATATGTTATATATTTGAGAAATGATAGCACAAATTATTATTATTATTATTATTTATTTTGAGAGAAGATACAAGGAGACATTAATTAAGTACGTTAAGTTTGCATTTTCTAATTATTTAGAATGAAAAGTAGAAAATTTTACGTGCAAGAAAATTTATTTTACATTTTTTATGAACTTTTTTTGTAATGCCGTTAGTGTATACAACACAACATACCTGTTCGCCTGATTATATGCTTGCTGAGGATCATTCATACACCGCGTTTCTTTTGCATGACGCGGTAAAAGCTACACCCTGTGGACAACTCTGCTTCTCTTCTGGTCTCAGGCGCTCTCAAACGCGCGCGGTTCGACCTCAATCAACTCACAAACGAAAGAGCTTGACGCGCATATGCAACCCACTCAACACGCAAAATTGCTGTTTTTGCTCGTTAGTCACATGCACGTGCATGATATATTAACATAAAGAATAATTTTTATTAAAAGACTTCTTTTGTATGTAAAAATGAACAAGCTCTGTAAAATGTAAACTTTATAAGTCGGGGTCTGTTTGATAAATCAATCAAAGTTAATTTCAAAATTACTTTTAAATTACAATAAAAGGTGGGGAACAGTTCTGATTTTTTTTTTCAATTGAGGAGTAAGACAGAAATAATCTATTCAATATAATATTAAATCATTAAATGAAAATTATTTACAATTACTAAATAAATTTCAATTATTGCGAATTATTGTTTATGTAATTGTATGTAATAAATTATAAAATTAATTGTAATGATTGCCATATTAATATTGAATATATGTATGATTAAAAAACTTCAATTTATTAATTTTCCGTGAAGAAGATGCAGCAACGATATTACAATATCCAGTGTGTACTTCTTTGTGCTTTCTTTGCATTTTTATTTTCATATCAATTTGGGACTTTAAAAAAATCTAAAAGATTTTTTATAAAAAATAAAGATTTTGGATTGAGGATTTAAAAAGATTGTAAAATCTAATACATATAATATACAACTCAATGCACCTATTTCATGAAACATAAAAATATTAATTGAATGTATTTTATGTGTTCATGCGCTGCTCTGGAGCAGTATCATATGACATGATATTGAGGCATGACCTCCGATTTGTTTTATTCCCGCTCATTCCCGCTACTGCTCAAAGTACTCAAAAAGTCCACCAGGGTGATATCGAGCGTGCAACTAGAACAAAACACCAGCCACCGCCGGCACCGCTCACCTGTTCGTCCTGTTCATCGCTTCAGACGCTTCCCTGCAGCACGACATTAACCAATTAGACCTGTCCTAAATTAGATCTGGCTGAATGGTCACCACCAAAGCCAAAAAATACAAACAACAACAACGACGCTTCACATCTACTTCACAGAAGGAGTCGAGGCTTCACAGGCTCTCTTTGTTTTTGGGCTTTTTCGGGGCCACAGGTTGGCTCCTCTACATTTTTTGAGCTGGGACAGTCAAATAAATTAAAAAGGTTTGGGAATTTCTTAAGCTTTCTACTTCATTGAACTCTCAACATTTATGTACTAGACGAACATTGACATGTATTACTTAATTTTTCTAGACAATCTTTATTTCTTATTGTACTTGCTCACGCAGAAACCACCTATTATCCGCTATTATCGTGTTTGGAAATTGTTCATTCGCATGCAATTTTACTGATAACTTATCTTATATTAATGATTAATATCTGTGACGAGTGAAGCACTGTTATGAAGTCGTCCTTTTATTTTTCAAGTTTTTCATTTTCGAAGCATATTATCTCTAATTGTAAGATTTAAAAAATAATTTTATTTAATTCAACAGCGCGTGCATAATTAGTTAAAGAATCCAGATAGCCTCCTCCTCCAGCCTGAGGATGGGTAGTCAATCGTCTCAAGACAGTCAAGACTCCACTCAACCGGACGCAATGTGCTTTTCTCCAGGTAAATTATTGTTTAAATATGGGACATCGACATCATTTGCATCTATTTATAATAATCTATTGCGTGCTAATTTTACTACAAAAATACAACATTTTATAAACCGAATGTATATTATATTTTGGGTTTTATGAACAGGTGTAGAATCATCCTCTTGTTTACGGCATAGCTTAGATGATTTTGGACACTTTGATGATGATGATGATGGACCTATTTTGGAGGCAAAAAAGTAATGGAACATCCATATTTATTAATTTGATCACTAATTCATATTTTTATAGCACCTGGGTTCTAGTCCTTCACTATCAATTCAGTGATGATGATGATTGGAGACGCGACGGTAACCAGAAAGATGTTGAAAATTTAGCTATGTGTTTTGGGAGGTACAAGAACTGCTGTTTTAAAGCAGTTGGCTCCATGAAAAAAGAAAGTGTTTTACAAACACTCTCGAACAATGAAGAATTTATCAAGCTCTTCAGCGACTCCGGTAGAAGCTTAAATTTGCAATCTTTAATTCTGCTAAAAATTGGTTTAAATCTTTTTAGAGCAACCTGCAGTGTTTCTTTTGTTCATAATGACTCATGGCGATTCAGATGGACAATTGTGCACTGACACAGTTGATCCTTGCTTAGACCAATATGAATGTTTTACCACTTCTGAAATTATCAAACGTCTGGGAGAGCTAAGCATACTTAGCAATGTTCTGAAATCGGTCTTCTTTGTGGTAACTTTTGAATTTTTGTGCATAGAATTTTACTTCATAATTGTCTTCAAGGCTTGTAGAGGCAATGTACGAGATCGACCTCATGTTCCTCGGACCATTGAGACTTTGGGGAATAAAAGTCTACGAAAAAATAAGAAGACGTGCCGTATTAAACAATTCCCAGCACAGGATAATTTTGTTATAGTTTACGCCTCAGTTGAATGTGAGTTTATTGGAATTTTAATACAGAATTATTATAATAAAAATGCTTGAACATAAATGTTACAGCTACTGCTTCGTACAGAGAAACTCTCTCTGGAACATGGCTCATTCAAAGTGTATGTGAGAGATTACAGAACTTAAAAACAGACGAGGCATTGGAAGTTTTTCTCAGTAAAGTTCTACTTGGCGTACACAATAAGTCTACCGCGGAAGGATATTGCATAGATTATTCGCAGACCCCCGAGATAATTTTTACTCCTTGTAAAAGATTCTTCGTTAAAAAGTTTGTTTTCAAGTTGAAGCAAAAAAAATTTCTAACCAATTCATCTTGCATTTATAGAACTGTGAATGATGTGGACAAGGCTACAAAGACTTGGTTAATAAATCCTGAACACAGTGGATTTTTCGATTGGAAATCTCAAAAAGGCTCACAGCTCAGACGTCGCTTAGCTGGAATTTTTTATGATGTAAAATCAAAGAAATGTGAAGATCTCGCATCAGTGCTCCAGAAAAAGCTTGAATTCGAAACATACAGCATGGAAAACTCAAAAGAACAGCTTCAATCTTTTAAAAATTTAGGTAAAGAAATATCCTAAAATCATTAAACATTTATCAATTTTTTTTCATCAGCTCAAGGTCCTCAAAGCGAGTTTGGCTGCCTTCTTGTTTGCTTCTTAGGAAGCATGTACATAAACTCTAGTGATGATATCTGCATCAAATTTAGAGAAGCTGACCGCACAATTGGAGAGGTTGTGCACTATTTCATTGGGCCGCGCAATGAAAAATGGATAGGGAGACCAAAATTCTTTTTCTTTGTACAGCAATCCACAACAACTGATTATGTTCGTAAGAAGGTAGATGGTCATTTGCATTGTAAATCTATGTTCATTTTCTCAAAATAAAACTTTGTTTTAGATTCACCTGAAGGAATTTGAAATTAGAGCTACAAATCACAGTGGATGGTTTGTTCAAGTTTTGCCCCACACAGGTATATATATCTTTTATAAAATTAATGGATCTTCTAAATACACAGTTTAAAACTTTTTAAATTTTAGCCTTCATCAATGGTCTCATTAATCTGTTCAAAAATACCGGCTTACGAGATGGAGAAGCAAGTGTCCAGGAACTTGCTTTAAACCTGATGATTCCTCGCCGTAATGTGAGTCCTGCGTTTACTCCAAAAATTGCCACAACCCTTCAATACCTAGTGAATTTTCCTAAAGTTCCACTAACGTTTTTGCCACCCAAATTGGAACTCGCGCAACGTGTACCTGGAAAAGACACTAGTCCTAATAAGGAGACAATTGAGTTTGAAAAACTGTGTGATGTCTTAGTGGAAGAATTTGAGCAGGGAAAAGATAGAAACCAATGTGTTTATCTTATCAGTGCTGAGGCTGGAGCAGGAAAATCTACTATTCTAGCCGAAATTTCTCATTATTTATCAAGAAAAATAGGAAACAAAATTATTAAAACTGCTTTCCACGATGAAATCAAAATCTTTGAAAAATCGAGAAATGTAGAAAAAATTTTTCGATCCTTTACTGAAAAGAATAAGGAATGGTTAGTTAAAGCAACCATAAAAGCTCTTGAAGAAAAGGACGTGCTGTTCATTTTGGATGGTTTTGATGAAATCTGTCCGGTTTTTCAAAAGCACGCACTTTGCTTGATTGAAAGCATTGCTGATCAAAAGCTACCACTGGTGATTGCGACTAGACCTGAGGAAGAAGAAAACATTGAGGGCGCTCTTTCGGAAAAATATCAAATTAAGAAGATCTTTATTTGCCCATTAGATAGAAGGCAGCAGAAAAAATTGCTTAAGTTAAAAGGAAAATTATCGAATTCAGATATTCCAAAATTTCTACAAAAACTTTCGGCAGCCGGGGCCAAAGAAATGCTCCAAAATCCACTTCAACTTGACCTCATCTCACAGCTGTATCACTCCAATCAAAGTGAAAAACTCAACCTCTACGAGCTCTATGACAAAGTGATTGAAAATTACTTGAATAAAACATGCTTAAAAAAGAATCTAGATGACGATACATACAAGACAAATCTCAGACTTTGGACTGAAAGTCTGCAGAGATTTGCTGTTCAGCAATTTTGCCAGGACTCTGCGAAGATAATTAGTAATGATGAAATGAGCAGAATTGGCAAATCAGGTGTTGTAACTGTTATCAATGATGAAGATAACAATCCGATCGAAGGAAAATTTGAGCACCAAACATTTGCAGAATTCTTGCTGGCACAGAAATTTGTTAATGAACTCATTGCAGGAAAAGATCCCACAGTTACTCTCTTGACTAATCAATATTTCCCCAAAAGTGTGGAGTTCATTGACTCATTTCTTAAATTAAGAAACAAGCAGGGAGAGACTCCTGGAAGCGAAGAAGATCAAGAAGCAGATGAGCCTGTTTTTTCAAAGGAAGAAGTGGAGTTGTTTGCCATAAAACTGAAAGAATATTGTCTAAATAGTGACGATTTCTTTAATGTCTTGAGCAACGTCATCAAAGGCAAACACACCAACATATTTCATCTGCTGAAACCAAATATTACATTTGCTGCTGAAGAGAACAGTGATTCAAAAGTTTTCATTGAGGATGGAAGTCCCCTTATATTACAAGTTTGCGGCACTAACAGTGACAAAGGTGACCAAGTAGGTGTAAAGTTAATAAAAATGGGAGCTCTTCGTGGGGCCCCTGAAGACTTTTCTTTTGATACTTTAGTTCTAGAAATTGCAAAAAGTGGGTGCCTTCACGAGAGACTATTCAACACCGTTTTAGACGAGTATCCTGAAAAATTAGGACTCAAAGAGGTGCACTTGCGAATTGCTGCTGAACATGGAAACGTGCGACTACTGAGGGAAATCTTGAATAAAGAGCACATAAATGCCAATAAGCCTGATAGTCGCGGAGAAACGGCCCTGCACAAGGCTAGCAAGGGAGGTCATGTGCCTTGTATAAATGAGCTGCTAAAGCGAAAAGCTAAAATCAATGCAATTGATTCATTTGGCCAAACAGCTTTGCATCTGGCTGCTAGAAACGGTCATGAAGGAGCAGCAAAATCCCTCCTACAGAAAGGTGCTAATTGTGCCCTGCAGAATAAAGATGGTAATGATGCTTTTGACTGCGCTGTGCGTTTTGGAAATGTTGACACTCTTAAAGTTTTCTTGAAAACGCAGGCTCGGTTAACAAAGAACAAGATCATCACAAGAAGAGATTATTTATTTGGTCTAGCTTTGGAAAACCCAGAATTTGGTGATGTTTTTAGCTTTCTAATTGAAAACAGCGGAAGCCAGAAATTCATCAACAATTTTGGTCAAGTGGTGTTAGTGAAGGTTTTTAAAATGGATAGATCTGATAAATTTGAAATCGCTTCCAAGATTTTGAAGGCAGCAAAAAGATGCGACTTCAACAGCCCGGACTCTGATGGAAATACGCTGCTGCACAAATATGTCAAATGTGGAGATATTAATGTGGTACAGTTTCTTCTGCAGCACGGAGCGCAAATTGAGAAGAAAACAAAAGATGGCTCAACGCCTTTTCTTCTTGCAACCAATTTTTCTGGAGTTCGTATGTGCAAGTATCTAGTAAAATGTGATGCAAACAAATACTCAGTAGATGAAAAATTGAACAACTGTATACATCGTGCATGTTTTGCCAATTCACTAAAAAATCTTGAATATTTATTTAGTTTGGAAAAAATTGAATCACTTTTAGCAAATAAAAATGAAGAAGGAAAAACAATTCTGCACGTAGCTGCAGAAAAATGTTCTGTGAATGTTTTGACGTTCCTAGCAGAAAAACTTGAGACTCAAGCATTCATGGAGCAAGACAAATTTAAACGCTGGATGCCCATACAGTTTGCCATTAAGTTCAACAGCTTGAATGTAATCGAATATTTGCTGGATGTACCAAAAGCCTACGGTTCCTTAACTCACAACAAACTCTTTGCGTTTGCCAAAAAAATTCGCTGTAATACCAACACACTAGATCTGTTCTTGAATGAGAGGCAAGCACAAAAGCGAAAATCTGCACACCCTGATGAAGGAGGGCAAAGTTCAGCTCCCCCAAAGAAAAAACCCAAACTTCAAAATGATATTCGGAGATATTTTCCTCCAATCAAGAAAACTTAAATAATGGTAAATACCAGCAAATACAATGTTCTTAGGAATTATTGAAATTATCATTATTGTAATAATAAACATACTCTTAGTGATAACTTTCTGACCATTTTGTGAAAACAATTTGCAATATTTTTGATATTTAAAAAAATAAAAATTTTAACTTTTATACTGCATATTTACAATTGTACATTATTCACTAGAAGCTATGTAGTTTGTAAATTGTAAAGAAACAAATTGAATTGTATTTTTGATAATAATATTTTTTGTGTTTTTTATCGTCATAAATTTTTTACTCTCAAATAATTATATCTCTGATTTTTTTTCCAACCAGTAACAAATATTTCGTAGCAGTATTTTGTGGTTCAGCGTTCACTTTAAAATTGGTTTATTTAACCAGAATTTAACATTATTATCATTATTAAAATATTAATGCTTTAAATCCAATTAAACGATTGCGCTTACTACTGGCCGGATTAATGTTAATTTATAATATGGAATTACAATGCCAACTACAACTACTTGAACTACTGCAATAATGTAAGAACTAAGAAGATTAACAATACCCTCTCAAACACCAGTCTCTGTCCCTGGTGCTTTTAGAGGAACAATAAACGCCTTTCTGCAAATCTGTGAAGGAGTAGAGAACACGCACACAAGGATTTTCGTTCCTATAAACTCCTTGAACAAACAGCCTGTGTTTTGTTTCCCTTTTTCCCGCGGTTCGTGTTAATTCATGATACGCGCTCTTTTGGTTGAAAAAATACATGTTGACCACCTTTATAAATGAAAATTGGCAGTGCCTTTTCTATTCAAACCGTAAAATAGTACAATGTTATAATGATTAAAATTTTATCACAAATAAATTTGAAAAAATAAAATAAACAAAAATTTTTCAATAAATTTTTCTGTTTATAATATCCACGTTTTTATTTTATAAAGTTGGTGTATCACATTTTGAGACTCGAGGAATTCCTGAAATAAACAAGTGAGTGTGTGTTGTGGTTGTTGTGCTTTATCATCTGCTGTTGCAATTCCAAGTCGGTCTCTAAGGGCGAAAGGACGCCGAATTTCGAAAGCATTTATTCTGACTGGTGGACGCGGGTTCGGAGCCCGGCGTGAGCATCACACAGAGAGAAATCGAACCTGACAATAATATTATTACGATGAATATTACGGTGGCGAGTCTCTCGGACCAAGTGTTCCCGCTGAACGTCAGCGAGGACCTCGAACTTGAGAACCTGAAGGCCTTTTGCGAAGTCGAGTCCGGCGTCCCTGCACACGAAATTCAGCTTTCGTTCAACGGAATGCCACTGACGGACAATAAGAAGACGCTGAAGGAATACGGCATCAAGGAGGGCGACATGCTCATCTTGCAGCAGATTTCCGAACGCACTCCATCCCAAAGACCCTCAACAGGTTACATAATTTATTATTTATCAATTTTTTTTTATTAACTTTCTTTAAAGGTCGTGCCCCAGCTAGTGGTGGAGCTGCGCCAGCTGGAGGACTTTCCATGCCCATGTTTGACTTCAGCAACATCCAAATCCCGAGCAACGTCGCCTCAACATCAAGACAGCCCTCAGGGGCTGCAGGTCAGATGGGTCTCTCTTCCGACGACCCCGCCGTGATCAGGGAAATGCTGCTTGCTGACCCGAGTGCCTTGTCCATGCTCAAGCAGAACAACCCCAGACTCGCAGATGCGCTCACCTCGGGAAGTCTCGGTAAATTTTGAAAATTGTAAAAAAAAAATAAAATAAAATCATTATTATTTTCCAGAGAAATTTGCCCAAGTTCTGAAGGAGCAGCAAGAAGCCAAGGCTGAGCGAGAACGACTGCGCCTCAGGATGCTGAATGCAGACCCGTTCGATGCTGAAGCTCAAAGACTGATTGCTGACGAAATCAGGCAGAAGAACATCGAGGCCAACATGGAGGCAGCCATGGAGTACAATCCGGAGACTTTCGGCACAGTGGTCATGCTTTACATCAACTGCTTTGTCAATGGCCACCCTGTCAAAGCATTCATCGACTCAGGTGAATAAAAAAATTCCATCATTGATGAAACTTGAATTTGACCAAATTCATCTAATGAAACAAATAATTTTTTTGTTTTAAAATATTAAATTGTTTCTTGTTTTCTCATAATTTCAAAAAAGCCAAAAAACGCTTTATTTAAAAAAAGAAATACATTTGAATTTCTTATTAGATTAAGAAATTATTTATTACAATTTAATTTGTAATAATTCCTAGGCGCTCAAACTACAATCATGTCTGCGGAGTGTGCTGAAAGATGCAACATCATGCGCTTGGTAGATCATCGCTGGGCAGGCTATGCAAAGGGTGTTGGTATTCAACGAATTATTGGTCGGGTCCACATGGTTCAGATTCAGATCGAGAAGGACTTTTTGACTTCCTCATTCTCCATCCTTGAGCAGCAGAAGATGGACATGCTCCTGGGCTTGGACATGTTGAAACGGCACCAGGTTAATACTTTTCTATGAAAGAAAAACATAAAGTAAAAAAATATCAAACCCATGTTCAAAGAAACTTAAATATTAGGTTTTTTTATAGAAACAGGATTTAATTCAGTTAATATCTCTAAATAATTTATTTAAAAAATCTAAAGTTTTTTTTATAGCAATATCAAAATGAAATATTGGATTATTGACCATTTACTTTTCTAGTGCACAATCGACCTAAAGAGAAACATTTTGCACATCGGCACCACTGGCACGGAGACCCCGTTCTTGGCCGAAGGTGACCTGCCCGAATGCGCCCGTCTGAGCGGCTCTGACACCATGGACGAACAAAAGGTCCTGGAGGAAAGTCTGAGGCAAGCCGAGCACCAGCAGATGGCCGAGGCTATGGAGCGAAGCCAACAGAGCTCCTCCGCTGCTGGGCCGAGTGGCCGCCTTTCAGATCCGGCCACCACAATCATGCCTGGAGATGCGTTCACTGAAGCTACAGTCAAAGAAATTATGGCCCTGGGCTTCAACCGGGAGCAAGTCATATCCGAGCTGCGCCGGTTCAAGGGAGACAAGACCCAGGCCACAGCCGCCCTGTTTGCCAAGAGTCTGAAGTTTTGATCAGTGATATTGAGTCATTTCTCAAACTGGTTTCTGCGTACGGGCTTACTAACTCTTTGATCCTTATTGGTGTGTGGAGAACAGCTGTTTTTCAATATAACAGACGAGGAACTTCAAATAAATCGCCCTGCTATGGCCATTGCTAAGGTTAACAAATAAAACATAATTGACTGTTTTTATTTTGTATGTTTTGGGATTGCAATTAAAATTATTTAAGTCTACTTTTCTAGCTTTTGAATTCACTGAGAAAAACAACCTGGTCACATTTTAAATCGTTTTAATGGTCATGTAATCACAGATTAGGTTATAACGACGTTTTGTTTTATTTTTTACCTTTTTAATTATCATTTGCTTTTTATTTTTACAATTTTCTCTCCACCTCACAAAGCGACTCTTGCCACTTCTTTGAAGCTGCGTGTGTCCATTCATACGGGTGAATGATTTCTTCAAACTCTCATACACCGCGCATTTGCACAAAGATCCAATTTGAGCTTGTTCGCAGAGTTTTATTTACTTTTTTTTTTATCCATTTTGCCTCTTACAAACTCCTCGTTTGACTACTACAAGAGGTGAAAATTCATCAGAGCCGAGAAAGAAGTGAGTGCTGGCACACGGATGGAGCGACACTGAATTTTGTTAGTTTGGTACTGCTTTTTGCTTCTCTAGCTGACAATTAATATTGTTGATTTACAACTGTGAGGCAACTTTTTAAATCTCCCAAGACTGTTGTGTGCTTGCGATAGAAAGGCGCTTTCGAAATGGGACAGGAGTCGTCACGCGTGTGTGCAGATGACGTACAGTTTGGCAGAAACACAAACAAAAAATTAGCACCACCAATCAAACTGCATACCAGTATAACTTGTAAAAATACAATTAGGAACATGTGTGAGATTTAAGCGCGGGGCGATTTAATGGTTAATTAGTTGCATTAAAATCAGGTAACGTTATAAGTGGATGCTTCGTACGGGAAAAGTAAAATATCTTATTTGAAAAAAAAACGACCAAATAGGTAACAAATAAATTATCAAATTGCAAAAAGAACAATTTCAAGTTGGCCCAAAAGAATTATCTGGATATTCTGGATCAAAAATACAACAGCTAACAAGTTCAAATTTAAGATATCAGTTCATAAGAAACTAATATAGTTGACAGAAAAATAACGAAGCATTGTCATTCTGACACAACCTGACCAGGGGATTTGGAAATAGGGGGCGCGCGCTTCAAAAACTGCTCTACAAGCACATCAGACAGCAGGCGTTGTAGTTTTCATTTTTACAAAGCATCATGTTTATAACCTTAGTTTGTTTTTGTTTTAAGTTCATTTGCATCTTGAAACCACTCGAGGTTTGGCGGTTCTTGCATTTTAAAACCAGTATGAAGTGTTCCTTGTTAACACTCTTAAGCGGTCCATTTTCGTCAATCCAGCAGTGGAAAGTTCCATCCCAAAGGTTTCTTGCACTCGTCCTTGTTACGTACTCTTCCCTCACTATGTTCTGTTTGTCTTTGTTACAATAATGATTCAAAGGCACAATTTACTTGCACATAATTTTTTAAAAACAAATCCACCTTATTCAAACTGTAGCCTCGCTGAATTAAATACAAATCTTGATCTTTCAAAATGATATCTGGACTTTTTTCAGTTTTCAAACAGCGCAGGCTCAGGAAAATTGCCACAACTGGTAATTTGCCATAAAATTAAATCTCTTTGCCTTCTTTGCACTCGGAACATTTCTCCGGCATGGACGTGCCAACTTAAAAAATAATGACTGAAATTAACAACATCGTTATTTGTTAATACAAAAATGCCACATAGAAAATGTATAAAAATTATTATTTCACTGCTCTCAACTTGTGTGGTTGGTTGCTTTGACAAAATGAATGGCAAAATAGTAAAGTGAACAAAAGGGAACTCTGATAATCAACTAATTTCTTCTCTTTAGGACTAAAACGATTCATCAGGAGTATTCGAGATGATAACTTAACTGGTAATGGAAGGGACAACTAAAATTATTGACAACTCGGAGAAGCGGCATTCTCTTGCTCGTTTCTTCTCCGACGCTTCCTCTTCATCAGTAGGTTGATTTCTCTTGTTTTAATAGTATATGCTTCTAATATCACGTTAAATCATATAGTGTCGTCGGATCACTTTTTCACTTGAAGAACCAAATCAAGAGATAAGGACAGTTTCGGTCTCAGCACAGTTTGCAGCAGTTAGTTAGTCTCAGTCACCAGGGTGCTCTGGACACGAGCGATTAATGTTGAACCACTGATCAATACATCTGCAAATTGAATAAAATTACCATTTGCATCAGAAAACAATAGCTATTAAATAAAATAAAAAAGACTAAATTAGTTTTTATTAAATCAAATTTTTAAGATCATTACTTTCGATTACTTAAAAATTACTATCAATTGTTATGTTATAGTTTAAAAGTATATTCAATAAATTGAAAATTTTAATATAAATAAATATAAAAGATCTTTTATAGTATCAAAAAATAAAATGTTTTGAAATTTTATAACTACTTACTGCTTGTGATATATGCAGAGGCAGGGCAGCCTGGCGATCGTGTCCCCTTGCTCGAGCTCCTCAAAGCAAATCACACACTCTCCCTTTGTTTCGGACAAGACGTCCTCTGCAATACGCGAGTGGATTTTAGAGAGCAGTCGCTGAGTTGATAGACAAAATAATTAAACGTCATCATTTACCATTGTAAGAGAGACGCGGTTTCGTGAGGCACATAACAAGGTGACACTCGATGTCATCTGGTAGAACGAATTTCGAGCACACTGGACACTTGATTCCTAAAAGCACACGAGACATTTTCTATTACAATCAAACCAAAGAATCAAAATTTTGAAAAAAATTATAAGTGATTACTTTAAAATAACCCAACAAACGTCCAAACTTTTTAATTATTTATAAAATTTACATAAAAAATAAAAGGTATATTTTGTAGTTTTTTCTTATAAAAATTAAAAAAAAAAATAAATAGATATTAAAAGCTCATTATTTTATTTAATTAAAAAAATATTTTTTATTTGATTGATTATCCAATTTTACTGCAATATAAAAGACAACCACTTTATTAAAAAAGTCCAGTTTTTCTTAAAAAACATTTTTGGCTGGTTAGGGAGCTCATTTGCCCACAACCTTTGCGTCACGACCAAGGCTACACTCAATCCGCCGCCGTTCTTATCACCGCGATCAAAAGTTTATTAGCGAGGCGGAAGTTGGGAATCAGCTGGCGCGACTGACACTCATTGCCAAAACGGATTTTCAAGGTGCTGCTATATTCGAAACACAAACAAGCGACCGTCCTTGGTCGCAACGGCAAAGGCGCAAAATCAGAGCGGAATCGGTTTTTAGTTTTTAGCAAAATTCCCTCTAGCACGGAAATCTCGGTGAAAAAAAAAATTAGAAAAAACAAACGTTGGTGGTTTTCACGTTGTGGTACAAATAAAGTGCGTCGCACTTTTCGCTGCACGAGGCGCAGATCGAAAATTTGAAATCGCGCCAAGATAGAGCGAGAGACGGATGAAATAAACGCGTTATTTCTCTGCTCGTTCCGTAGCGCTTGATAGTAATAATGGTTGAGATGTGAACGCTTTACGAGTCGCGCGACAAAGTTCAAGGTCTTCGGGAAACCACCAAAAAGCGTCGTTGGATTTGCTCGCGCCAGAGTGCGGCGACAATTAATTAGTGCAAAAAGCAGAGCGACCAAACCGCTTTTGCAATGGTAAATTTTAAGTCGTTTAGCCAAGGCCGGCGACGGTGCAAATCACTTTATTATTTAAAAAGTTTAAATTTTAATTTAAAACAAAGATCCATAATAAATTAAACTTATTATCAAGTGAATTTGGCTCTTCTCTGAATGAATGTTGGTCTTTTATTTCGCAAAGGAAAAATAATAAATGACTTAAAACTTAAAATTTTATGTAGGAAAATGGGACTTATAAAATGAAACTAAAATTAAACAACCTCTCCTTAATTACAAAATTCTTCCACAAAAGGTTTTTTTAATCAATTTCAAAATTATCTTTTTACTGAAATTTTTAGTTCAAAGAACAGAAAAAGCTCATTATTAGTCTTAAAGATTTTGAAAAAATTTAAATTTAATAGAAAGTACTAATCTTTAAAAAATTAGTGTGAATACAATTATTTATTTAATAAATAAACCAATATCTTTGTATTAATAAAATAATTGGTAATTTTTCCTTCTTGATTTCGAAGCAGCTGTGTAAATAATTCGTTGCGTGACCCTCTGTGCACGGTGCCATTTGAAACTGGGCGACTCATTTACTTATTAATGGCAGAGTTTAAACGGTCTCACCCAAAACTTGCGAATTATTCAGAGCAGGCCGACAGCTGCTTTCCCCCGCGTTCAATTATTCAGGGTTGTAGATGGGCCCTGGTGGACAACGGATTGCATACGTTCAGGAGATGCTTCTTTATGGCAGAGCTAGTTTTACGACTTTGAAATAGCTGCAGTTGTAAAAATTCGTTAGCTCCAATAAAAAAAATCCAGCTAAAAAAATACAAAGTACAAAAGTTGTATCTTATCTTGAAAACTTTCTGACAAGCACAAAAGTTCTGGAACAATTATGAACGCATAATTGTTCTAAAAACGTTTATATTATTATTTTTATTATTTTTTTTTTTATAAAATTTTGACGAATTTAAAATAAAAAGAAATTTTTATATTTTTTAAAACAAAAACGAGTTAAATTTCTAAAATATTATAACATATTTACAAAATGTTAGAGAATACAAACGTTTACTAATATTTTTTAACAGAAATTATTCCAAAGAAAAGAGGCTAATGAAAAAAAATCGATCATTCTCACTTTTAACAAATCTTCTGTTTCTGTACACCAGTCGACCGCTTTGTAATCGCTCCATTTTATTAAGTGACAAAATAGCCACTCTAGCAAAGCCGCAGATCTTCGTTTCCATTCGATAAAATTAGATAAGCGCAAGAGGCATGCAATAATTACGGCGAACGAAATGGGGCCGTTTTTGTGTGCGAGTGACGTCAATTCCTCGTTGCTTTTCGCCTTTCAAGGTTGATTCTTCTTCTGGTGCCGCTTTCTTTACATTTTGTCGGCATTTTATGCAAGAAAATGCGGAAACTGGCCGAGTGCAACGCGATTTTATGACGCGCGATGACGAGTTATTGGCCCCTTGAGGAGCTGCAATAAGTGACCGTCCAACCCAAATATTTTGCACGCGGCAACGGCGCGATGATTTACGGCGCCGAAATTGCGTTCTGCCCGCACAGTTTGCCCCTGAGAAGGCGACAAAAATTATATATATCACCCCTGGTAAAAAAAAAATACGGGCGGTGGTGGCAGCCAAATTTATGTTTGGAAAGAGAAACGGGATCCACAAAGGACTGGGAGGAGTTTAATTCCACCACCAGCGAAAGCGGAAATTTTGAGGGGACAAATAATGTGATTAAGAAATTTAAGCCAAAATTATGTGCAAATAATTTTCTTTGAAAGCTTTGAAGAATGTGTGCTTAATTCTGCAAAATATTGGCATAAAACCAAAGGAAATGGTTATTCCAATTTTACTTCGTTGTCATTTTTATTTTGCATAAACAAGCCACAGATAAGGTTTAAATCATTTGTATAATAGATGGTATAACTAGAGTTTATAATTTATTTGCATCAAATTTTATACGTGTATTGTTGTCTGGCGGGCATGAGGTCATTGCTGTTTAAAGCAACAACACGGAAAAGGCTGGAATTACTCGTAGACGATAAAACATTCGTTAACTCACGTCAACTGATGAAAAAGTTGGAAAATTCATTCTCCAGTTACTTCAACAAAATACGTATTAATTTCTTTCAAATATGCAATCATTATCGTTTTGTTTTGTTTAAAATTATTTGTACTTATTTAAGTTTCTATAAATTTAAGAACCTAATGATAAAAAATTAGTATAAACCGGTATAAACTAAAATTTTTAAATATAATTAAGAATTTTCGAACACGAAAAATTGTAATTTTTCCATAAATTTCTACGGGATTTGCTCTCAACGCATTAATTGCAGTTTTATAGCTACATAGCTTATTTTATAATTTAAATTTACCTTTGAAAAATACAATTTAACAATAAAATTTAAACAAATCTATGCTTATCAATATAAGCACGGAATTCTAGTAGACTTTTTCAAGTAAAGTAAAGATCAACTTTTATAGCTGAAATTGAAAGTCACTCTTCACAACCTCTGAGCCTGCAAAAGTTCAAGAGCTGCTGATAAAACCGATTGCTGCGAAATTTCTTCCCAACAAAAGTGCGAGGGAGGGAGCGTTCCACTTTTCCATCACTATATCTTATCAGATGATAACCTCTAATTGATTGTAAAAATTACTAGTTTCCAAACAAAAAAGCAATTCAATTAAGTGACGACGCTGATAAGAACGGGCGTGTTAATTCCCACGAAAGATTTTTTTCCCAAAAAAATTACGTAATTACGAAGAAAAATAGAGACACGGTTGGTCTCCGTTGATCTTGAAAGGCGTCGCACGTGACGGGAGATTAATCCGTCGTTACATGGAGATCACGAGATCACCTCACTTGCTAAAGGAGGAACATAAGATTTCCTTATTTATTTGAAATAAAAATTAACGAATACTCTGGCACGTAGATAGAGTCACTTGTTGGATGAAGGTCTGTCTGAAATCAATAAATATTGGCGTCTCTTTCTCATTATGCGAGTGGCCACTTATTCGCGCTGCCAAACGCTGACGTCGCAAAATCATTTTATTTCGAACGCGGTGCACACGCAATTTATTATCGCAACATCGCCGCCGCACCGCAAGATTTTAAGCAGCACTTCCGATAACATTGATCGAAATTTGCCCTATCAGTTGTGTGTATCATTGTCAAACTTATTGTTCTCCTGGAACTAATCCAAGTCCACGAAATTACATTAAACTGTGCAACAGGACGAGGGAATTTTTAAACTGAATTATTTAGTTTCACTAAAAAATAACAACTTGACAAAATTCGAAGCGCTGATTTTTTTTTTAATAAATGCAAGTTAAATAATTATTTAATCCAGGATTTTTAATTATATATTTATATATTTAAAGAGGATGGTACCACCTTAGGGCAGCAATATCCTCCACAGAAACTGATAGTTTAGGCCATAAGGATCATTTTGATAACCAGAAAATTGGGGGTCACCCCATAAATTTTTGAGAAAAACGCGTTTGAATTTAACATGGTTCGCTTATGGACAATTTTTATGAAAATCATTCAATCCCATTTAAAGTAAACGAAACTAACTTTGGCAAAGGTGTGTGACCCACCAGCATGTTCCTTGATAACCCTGCTACAGATTTGGCACCAGAAAATTGGGGGTCACCCCATAAATTTTTGAGAAAAGTTTAATTGAATGTTAAAAAACGTGGTTTTTTGCATTTTTCTCGTTTTGGAGAAAATCAATCCAATTTTAGAGCGCTTAGAATTTATTGATTTCTATAATCAAATAACATGATAGTTCATACTTTGGTTCCTACAATTCTCCAGTAATGAAATTTTTTCATATTTTTCAAAATCCAATATGGCCGCCGGAGAAACATAAGGGTTTATTAAAACTGCTGCCAAATTAATTTGGCTGAAGATTTTTAATTTCCTTGAAAGGAAGTTGGAGTTAATGAACCAAGGTATCTTTTCTCAATGGTCAGCAAGTTTCTAGGTCAAAGGTCATTGACCCTGGCCAAAGGTCAAAATATAAAGTTTTATGCCCCTTGAAAATAGGCAACCGGACAAAAAATCCAAGATAGCCATTAGATGCGCCGTGTCATTTTGCATCCGAATACAAATTTTCAAAATGTTTGAACAAGCCGTTTAGAAAATATTATTGAGTTATAAACAGGGTCCGAACGACTGAAAATATTCCGTTCGGATGAGTTAAAAATTAGAAAATGATACTTTTTTCGTCATATTTGAAACAAATTGAGTATGTTTTATTGTATTCCATTAAAATTTGAAGGATTTGAAAAACATTTTGCAGAAGGTTTCATCTACTTTAAATTTGCTCTCTATGCATTTTTATAACATTGAAAGTGGAAATTTCAAATTATTGCAAGCAGCAATGATTAGATTTGATGAAGTAATTCATTTTATGATTTACTAATTTTAAAAGAATATTGCAACTCAAAGCAAAATTTTCTAAACTGGAGAAATTTGCTTTAATTCAGTCTATGAAAATTTGAGGAAAGAACAAATAAAGCCGAAAAAATTTGATTTAACAATTTCTAAAAAATTAAAAGTCAAATCTGCCTTCCAAAATATAATTTCAAGTCGATTAATTTTTGTTTGGAATTTGTGAAAAATTACGATGAAAAAAAACAGCTGCAGTGTTAAGATTAAATTAATACAAAATTCGCGGAAATCTGCTTAAAAATTATTGGCGACCGTTTTTAAACTTTGGAAAACAGTCTCTCGGGGGAGCTGACCTCTCGCTGTGTCAGAGAGCCGCAGAATAAGAGACGCACATTTGCAACCGGAGTGCGACAACGATTGTTGGGAAATTCGCTTCTCCGGTGGCTTTTCAAAAGCAAACATCCACGCAGATGGAAAAAGCAGCCGCGGTGGCTTTGCTCTCTCTTGCTCGCTCGCTGGATGCATGTGAAGTAACAACAATAAACCTCACACTCCATAACTGGGTCATTTGAGCGCACAAATAAATAAATGGAAAATCAAAAATAAACCACGCGAGCGCTCCAAGCTGTTCTTGGAATGAAAAAGCACCTTCCCTCCACCCGTTTGAAGGGATGAATGGCAAAGTGGGTCGGCCAATGACGTGTGCGATAATTACGGAATTGCAAGGATTCCGGTATTGTAAGCAGAACTGGGAAGATCTACAAGCTGGAAAGCCAGGTAGAGTTAATTATTGTGCCTTGGCATAATTCAGCGCAAGACAATTAATTATCTGAGTTGAATGTTACTCAGAGAAACGTTTTTTTATCAATTTTAAACTTTGAATAAATTTTACAAGAAAGAAAAAATCAATTTGTTGAAACAAATATTAACATAAGCACCAATAAAATAAAAAATCATAGGAAACTTTGGACTGAATTTTAAATACAATTTAGTATAGAAGGCGTTATGAAAACAAAGTTTATAGGGGAGACTGTCAAAAGCTAAAAAATCAGTCCGCAAACAAATTTGATTTTTATTGCTCAAAGATTGTTTTAAAATACGTGTTAGATTTTCTTGCAGTTTTTTATATATTATGATTTATGAACCATATCGGCTTAAAAAAAGTTGGTTAATTTTTTTTCCATGAACCTTCTTTAGTAATGAACTTGAAAAATTTCTTGGTTATTTATTAAAAAAATAAAAATATTAACGAGCGCAATATTCATCTGTAGTAATTTGGATGGTTAAAATTCTTTATACTAACTTTTAATCACATTTACTGCTACAAAATTAAATTGCCGTCTAAGATATTTTTTACACGTTGCAAACTGATCCGCGCTCCTTTCTCAAATTTACTGAAATTTACTTTTTGGGAACATCAAAATTCATCGGAATAAATTAAGTAGATAATATCATTTTTAGATTTACGTACCAAATTAAACGTAAAGCATGGAAAATGCGACGGAAATGTGACGCATCTGCATCACAACAAGTGCACCCGTCGGGGCTTCAGACTTTCAGACTGACTCGCACGCGACAACTAGCCGACCTTTACTCTTGTATCGCATCCTAGCCCAAACACACATCTTTCTCAAAATTAACATTTAACTATTTTAGTCAGAGGCATCAATATATTTATAAACGGAATTGCCCAAACGCTACAGTGGCGATAAAGTTGAAAAACATCAGGCCGGTATGAGACTTTTCTGCTTCACCGGATTCTTATGCTCCGTTAGGCCCTGCTGGCTTGTGAAAAGTGAGAGTGCCAAGGCGAGGCTTGCTTGTAAAAATAAACAATACACTGGATCAGCATGGGCCTTTGAGAAATTAATTTTCACCATTAATACTGAAATACTGATGCAGTTTAAAATTATAGCTTCATATTTTACAATTTACTTGTGGTTTAATTATAAAACAATTGATTTTAACTTTTTACTATTTAAATTCTCAACTGATAAAAAAAAATTATTAAGTCGGTGCGTATATGTCACTGAAAATCAATTAAATGATTTTTTAAAGTTTTTACTGCTATTTATGTAAAATAATAATTATTTATTTTAGTTCTGTTATGTCCGTGTTTTTCCAATTTGTCTGAAAAAGTGAGAAAATTGTATAGGCGGCTGAATGTTTTTCTTACCATTAAGGCTCCAGATGTGCGAGGGCAGCGAGTGGGCGGCGTAGACCCGTGGGGTTGAGATGCCGAGGCCGGCGGCCGCGACGGCGGCCACCTGCTGCTCGGGCTGCTCCTCAGAACTTGAGTCGGTCTCGGCGGGACTCTCGGAGATGGTGAGGCCGCGGCCTCCGGCCCCCGTGGCCGCCTCCTGCGGCACGCTGGACAGCGAGCGCGCCCTCAGCCGGTCGCTGGACACTGCGCCTGCAAGGTCTGCACGAGTGAGCAAGGTCATGACACTCGTCTGGTTGTGGTGTGAGCACTCACCTGGCAGTGCCCTGAGCAGACTGAAGCCCGAGGCGCTCGCGTTCACCACATCGGCGCTCGAGGAGGCCGAGAAGGTGCGGGCCCGGGGGCTGCTGGCGCCCCCGGCGGCGGTGCTCGGCTTTGCCCCCATCCGCCTAAACCATTGTCCGACGCACTAGGCGCGGTCGCGAGGCCCCAAACTTGACATCATCGCACCTACAAGCGCACCATTACTATTTTTCTTTTTCCGATCTCTGTCTCCACTCCAATCCAACTTCTAACAAATGCCCCGCCCGCCACCTGGTGGTGGTGCCCCCGGACCTTGGCCCGGTCATTCGAATTTTGCCCGCAAAATTATATTTATCTTGAGGATTCTTTCACTTTTGGCATTTACATCGCGGTATTTTGAAATTAATTGGGTGCATTTTCAAACAGTCTAGGGTCTAGGGCAAATTATTTAAATTACCAGCAATACCAGCTAATTTTTTCATTTTGTCGTAGCACCATTTGTAGATGGCGCAGCAATCGTTTTACGTTCTTTTGCCATGTTTACTACGCAAAAGGCAGGCCAACTTTTGCCGGGGTGTAAGGACGGGATTTGAATTGGCGCTGGATCGATACTAAAATTTAAACATGGACAATTCAACTCCCAGATCCTATAATATAATTGAATATTTTGAATAATTTTTTTCCCATAAATTCAGTTTTTGTTAAGCTACTGTAATAGGATCATAATTAATGTTATTGAGCTCAAAAATTTAATTTTCAAAACAATTTGGTACATCGATCAACAATCGATGAGAGACCATCCCACTTTTCTTTAAACCAACATGGCCGTCCTTCAGTCGATTTGGTAAACAATCGGAGCCGAAGCTACATTGCTCTTATCTCCATTTAGGCATTGCAATGTAAGTGATCTTTTTTTGTAATGACTCCGATAATACCACTTTGTCACAAAAACTAAATCTTTGGCTAATGTTGGGGTTTATCAATGACAAAATTGTTTTTTCCTGCAGGCCGTAGATAATGTAGGCCGACTTTGCCTGGCATTGAGAAGCTGAATAAACACAAAAGTTCACCATGAATGGAAACGCACCTAATGATGAGGCCAAATCTCGACGGTACATCCCCAGACCGGTCGGAACCGGCAACGGTTTCCGGCGGCCAAACCAGCAGCAAAACCCGCAGAAAAGGCAACAGCAGCAACCGCAGCAGCAGGTAGAGAGTAGCAGTCCTCCGGCAGGTCAACAGCACGGAGGACGCAAGGAGGCCGGAGCCCAGCACCAGCCAAAGTGTCAAGACACACAGCCGCTGCCACCTATCAACCTTGAAATGGTCAAGCAGCTTTGGCTTGAAGCCAATTTCATCATAGTTCTCAGAAAGGTTGCTCACTTAATTATTTTATGCATAGCTGAAAAAAATTATAACGTTGTCAAATTTTTCAGAGAGCTGTCCAGCATCCAAACGCACAATTTTACTGTAAACTTTGCAACTATTATTGCATGTCTTTCAACCACTGTGAACAACATTCGCAGGAGCAAAAGCACGGGAAAAATATCAAGGTATAGGAACCTGAGATTATCTTTATCTTACAATTTTGTTCTGATTTTCACATAATGGTTTTTCACAATCATTGTTATTCCTTAGGCTGAAGCAAAGTTGACGACAATCAAAAACCTGCCAACCCCTACTGAAACTCACTTCGAAGCTTTGACCAGTCTTTTGACTGAAACCTACAATAAGGAGGGATTGACCGATGCCGATAAGATCGCAAGATGTGAATTTGCAACGGAAGTGGACAAATTGATTTCCGAAAATCTGCCAGGTGAGAAGTTATATTAGCAACGATCATTGAACTAAACTTTTAAACTTATCCCTGCCTCCTAGGTTGCAATGTTCAAGTTTATGGATCGTCCCTGACTGGGATAGCTCTGAAGCAGGCTGATTTAAATTTAGATTTCATTGTGGCCAAAGATTTGACAGCACCTGAAATGCTGCAGGAAGCATATCAAGTCTTGAGCGCCTCAATGCTTGCTATGTAATCAAAATGAGTTCTGTTTTATTGTGCATATTCACTGTGAATTATTCTCCCTGTAGTGATGTGAAGTCAGACTTCAATAGTGACATCCCTTCTATTTTCTTCACCAATGAGAACAAGTCATTGAATTGTGTACTGAGTTTAAATCACCACGATGCTTCCAACACTTGCAAACTCGTGGAAATGTACACTAATCTAGACCCCCGGGTGAAACCCCTCGGCAGTTGTTTTAGACTGTGGACCAAGGTAGAAATATTGATTAATTGAATTACTTCTAAATCATATTTCTCAATCAGCTCTGCAAGATCGATGACATCCAAATGGCCATGTTGCCTTCTTATTCATACTCGCTGCTACTCATTTACTTCCTGCAGCAACTTGAGCCTCCTGTTCTTCCTGTCATCAAAGATATCAAGGAAGGTTCGTAAACCTTTATATGGAATCAAAAACCCAGGATAAAAATTTCATTTGTAGAGCTCCCTGAGTGGAAGTCGGAGAACACAATGTCATTGGGAGAACTGTGGTACAAACTGTTGCAGTTCTATGCTGTGGATTTCCCCGAATCAAAGAACATTGTCTGCATTAGGCTGAAGGAACCTTTGACCAAAAATGACAAGCATTGGACTTCAAGGAAAATTGCCATCGAAGGTGATGATTTATAATTTATAATAAGTATAATTCCCACTTGACATTCCGTTTAATTGCAGATCCGTACCTCCTTAAACGAAATGTGTCCCGCTACCTGGTCACAACAACCTATGACTACATAATGTCATGCCTCCTGGATGCTTACCAGTACTTTGCAGTGCCCCAAACCGACATTGGACCGCTTTTGGGCACCATTAGACTACCCATGGAAAAATTTCTGCACTTGCCAGAGGTGAAGCTGAATGTTGTTAGGGCTGAACAGAGTGCCATGGATATGATGGACAAGGACCTGAAGAGATTTATCAAGTCTACTGAAAATAAAAAGGTCTACTCTGTTGAGGAACTTGAGCGTGGCGTAAACAAAATGGGTGTCAAGGAAGAATTCCCCTACGGTTTCTATGCCTCCAAGGTTGTTACTCCCAGGGTCGCCGAGGCTATGTGCCAGAGGCTGAGGAAGGAGTCATACAAATTTGACTTTAATGCAAAGAGATATGCTCAGGTCTGTGACTCTGTCTTAGAAAAAGAATTAATTTTGACAGTGACAATTGTAGGAAGTCCCTGTGGTTTGTAATATTTGCCTCATGGATGGCCACACACGCAACGACTGCCCTGACACGTACCTTCCACCTCTGTTAAAACTGCCTCCAATGACCTCGAGATTCCTCAGAGAACTGGACACTATTTGCAAGCAAGAAATGCGTAGGTGTTTTATAATTTGAAACATATATAATTACTTATTTTTAAACCTCTGCAGAAAACTGGCTGCCGTCTGAGGAGGAAGTGACGGAGAGACAGATATTTGTTCACAGTCTGCAGCAGCACTTGAAAATGAAGTTTCCACATGTGAAACTTGAGCTGTTTGGCTCGTCTTGTAATGGTTTTGGCTTCCGCAAATCTGATCTGGACATCTGTCTCACATTTAGCAACAATCCTACTGGAGAGGTATTTCATTCTAGATTTTATTTTTCATTACAAAACAAACTTTTATAGGGAATCAATGATGTGGCTCTGTTTGAGGAGCTTGGAAACGAGCTGAAGACTTACGAGCACATCCAAAATTTACTTACCATCACTACAGCCAAAGTTCCCATCATCAAATTCACTTACCCGAGGATCAGGGTCGAGTGTGATATTAGTTTGTACAACACGTTGGCACAACGCAACACCAGGATGTTGCATCTCTATTCACAAATAGATCGAAGGGTTAAAGTATTTTTTCAGTTTGTGGCCTTACTTTTTCCTCATTTTTCCATATTGTAACAGATTTTGGGGTATACTCTGAAACGCTTTGCCAAGCTGTGTGATATTTGTGATGCCTCCAGAGGCAGCCTGTCTTCGTACGCCTACATTCTCATGGCTATTTACTTCCTGCAGCAATGCGACCCACCTGTCATTCCAGTTCTTCAGGAGGTATTAAAAGATTTAAAATATTTTCAATATCTATGCTAATTTTTCCTGTAAGTTGTACACAACTGAAGAGCAGCCTCAGGTCCTGGTTGAGGGATGGAACACATGGTTCTTTGACGACCTAGATCGTTTGGTAAGCCAACATTAATGTTACTTTTTTATTATTTAATAAAGAAAATTCTGAATTAAATCCATAATGATATGTAAAATATCATTAGAGATATATTATATTGAATTGTTTTATTCTGTAGGACACTGTTTGGTCTGGATATGGAAAAAACACAACTTCAGTTGGAGAACTGTGGTACCAGCTTCTCAGATTCTACACAGAAGAATTCGACTTCAACGAACATGTCATTTCCATTAGACAAGAAGAAAAATTGGTGCGTTTCAAGAAACTTTGGAACTCTAAATGCATTGCAATTGAAGACCCGTTTGATCTGAATCACAACCTTGGATCCGGGCTCTCCAGAAAAAGTATAATGTCTTTAACGGTCATCAACGTAAATCTTAAAAGAGTTTTTCAGTGAATAATTTCATCATCAAAGCCTTCAGGAAAGGCAGAATGCACTTTGGCACACCGATCAGTATGGACGATGTCTCACCTCACTACAGAGAGCTAAGAGTAAGATATATATCTACACTACCAATCATATTAATTATTGATTTTTTTATTTGTTTATTAGGAGTACTTGTTTGACGCACGATACTTGACAGAGGGTCAGGTGCCGAACGATCGAGGATGCCGGATTTGCAAGAAAATTGGACATATTGCTCGTAACTGCCCTAAGCAACAGCTGCAGCAGCAACAGCAGCAGCCAAAACACAAAAACCTAAAGCCCAACAACCAGAACAAACCACAGCAACAGCCAAGACGTGAGAACGAGCCAAGACCTCTGACGGAAACCCAAAGGCAGCCCCCCATTGCTGCTCCAAAACAGGCGCAGCCTCGTCCACCTCCCCTTCAGCAGCCTAAGCCCCAACAGCCTTTTGGCAGCCAAGGGCCTCTACCAGCAGCATTCCAACAAGGTAAAGATGCTCCTGTGAAGACTAAAAGAGTCAGGAAACCCCGGCAGAAGAAAAAAGCTTATGTCGAGGGACTCCCTAGACCTGACAATGGAGAGGAGAAGGCCCCAAAAATTAAGGGCTTCCCCACTCTTATCTTCAAAAGGCGCTTATCTGGCGCTGAGCTTACTTAGCTGAATTTAATGCTAATCGCTAGCAGTTTTTATTAGAGGGTATTAATTATATTGATTATAACGGTTTTAAGCTAAGCATGACTAATTCTTGCTAAATACCACTACAATCTATCCTTAAAGCATGATGTTTTTGTATGTAGATCACAATTTTATTATTCTTAATTGTGAAACTGGCAACGAATTTTTATTTTTTCGTAGTGTAATGCGCTATTTTGAAAATATATGATTTTTTCCAAGTAACTCTGCCCTTTCTTTACCCTGAAAGACCTCACTCATATTGATCATTTAATTTCCACATTCATTGTAGTGAATGGAGGGATGGGCACCCCCTCACCACCTTTGCCTGTAAGTCCAACAAAAGGGCTCCCTGGGGTTGCGGCCAACTCGTCGCCAGCCTTTGACAATTTCATGCGGCTGATGCAGCAGAGAGGAGCACCCTCCATGATGCAGGTGCCTCCTGGCTTTTCTCCGCAACGGCCGTCTCAGCCTCCAGCTCCCTCCGGTCCAAGTGGTCACGGCCACATGTTTTTCCATCCTCGACCACCACAAGCAAATCCACAACATGTGTTCCCAAACGGGATGCCTCCCAGCCAGTTTCCTCAATATTTCACTGGGGCGCCGGTTGCCCACCAAATGGTGAGATATCAAGATGAATTGAAATAAAAAATTACATCCGTGTTGACTTTTAACAGAATTGGCCACAAGCAGGCTTGCAAGGCGGCCAACAGCAGATGTATCAGCATCAGCAACCATTGCCAAGAGGAATGGCTCCGCCTTTGGGCCATCCACAGGCCATGCCCCCTCAGCAGCAATAAACCTGCAGTTTGGCAAGGCAGCATCGGACAACTCTTGCAATTGTAGACCCCTATTTTAATTTTATCTCCACCTTTTTGAATTAATGTGGCCGTCTGATATTCTAATGACAAAAAGCTAACTTGGTGGAAATTTTTGTTGATTTTTTTTTACTGAAATGACTGGACTTTCAAATGACAAGTTTTAAAGTAATTTAAACATAAGAATTCATAGAAGACCAATGCAAGTGACACACATTTTTGTGCCTTTCTAGTTGTCGCATTGCATTTGAAAGTCCTGAAAATGTTAGCTTGATTACCTGCTAAAAGTTGTAGATTTTATGTTTTACAAGAAAGGCTTGAAAAAGCAGTTTTGGGCTACAAAATTTAGTGCTGTAAAACAGAGCGCTGATCCTGTTAACTTAGCAGCTCTCTTTTAATGTTTTAGAATTTCATTTTTTTCCCTTATTGGGCTGTCTTGTTGGTTCCCTGAATTTGTTCCTGTTTTTGTTATTATTTTAAAATCTGTCCAACATGAGGTTTGAAAGTACCTGCTGATCAGCAAGCAAATAGTAGGAATTTGGCTGCACATTTTCCTGTGCCTCTAGCTAGAAAAAACTTGCCTTTTGTGCTAAAGGCAATAGGGATTTTATTGTGCTTGAGAGTAACAATTTGAGGGCGTAAAAAAAATGTACCACAAGGAAGGAATAATGTATAAAATTAAACATCTGATCTCTTTCAATGAATATATTTTTTAAGAAAACTGTAATGATGGGATGACAGTCAAAAATTTCAAAAACAATTATGGCATTTAAGTAATAAACCAATTAAGTTTTAAAACTGTGCTTTTTTCAGACATTTGAATTTATTCACATTGTGTAATTTAGAATTTAGATTATAAAGAAAATCTCAAAAACAAACGTCCCGGATGCCGGGAGAAAAATTCTCCATATTCTATTTGGTAAGGCCACCACTGACCACTGGAACATAAGCTAGTATTAAGATTGGTGCAGCTCTGTCTGTATTAGATAGATTGTGCTTATAATCATAAAATGCAATGAGGTCAAATCGCACAGCGCCTCTCCTCAAAAATCCTTATAATCAATTAATGGTGCCAATTTATCAAAAGATAAAAGGTAATTTTTATTTCACATAATCGGTTATTACTTGATAATTGATTAAAATTATAAAATTTCAATAATATAATAGTAATTATTTTCAATAAATTGATGTTTCTAAAATAATGCTGATTAATTTACATTAAGACAATAACAATTTTTGTGTAGTTATTGCCATTATATTATATAAGTTAAAAATTACTGAAATTAGTTTCTTGCAGACGTCCCAAGGTACGTGCCACACTCCGGGCAGTAGTGATAAGCATCCTTGCAACTTTCAGTGCAATATGGAATAGGGGCGCAGCACCATAAACTAAAAATTGAACAAATAAGCAAAAATAAAATGATTAAATATTTATCATATGTCTTGTGCGGTGCGCACAGCACAAAATACAATGCATTATTTTTTATGTTTTAGCTTACCCAAAAAGGCACAGAAGAAGGGCAATTATATGCGTCTTAGTTCCACTTTTGTGGTCAACCCTCGTTTTTATATCAGCCTTACATGATGGGCAAGAATATCTGCTCGACTTTGGTGGTAAGGGCAAATCTTTGTAGTTAAAAATAATTAATAATTAAGAAATTAAAAATTATTTCAAATTATTTGTATGTCATTTAATCTTAATTACAAATAATGTGTGAAATTAATAAATTATACTGACGGATTACGGTCGTCACCACAGTTGCTGGTTGTCCTCCTGCAACGGGATTGGAGCCCACAACAACGGTCGGTCCCTGAGAGGGTGCTGGAGGAGCAGGGTACAGGGGCTGTTGAACAAACCCAATGGGTGCTCCTGCCGGAGGATAGGGAGGCCCTCCACCGTGCATTTTTTCTTGATGGCTGTAACTTGGCGGTGGGTCCATCATTATGGGCACAGAAAGCAAGTTGAGCAAGTGAAGAGGAAAAGCAAAATGAGTTTAAGCTTTCCTTTGTCGTCCAACGGTACTTTTATTATTGCTTTCAGAGAAAAACACACTAAAGTTGATACACAGATAAATGGGAGATAAGAGCTCGCGCCGAGCTCTATAACATACAGGATTACATATTTGTTCAATGACAGTTTATTTATGATGTTTAATCTCCACACGTCACAAGTGTGAAAAGAAAAGTCATTTAAGCTTTCTGCGTCATTTTTGTCTATATAATATATTATGATGAGTCAAACAAGAGCAAGAAATCTGTAGAAACTTGAAAAATGTGCTTCATTTTGCCATTTTTATTATATCACAATTTTTCATAGTGAAATTTTCGAATTTTTTGTGTTTTAGGACAATCAAACATTTTTTTTCTAACAAGATGAGGAAAATTGGAAATTTAAATGTTAATTTGGAATTTTTATTTATATTTATTCCTATTTTTTATTATTCTTTCTTGGTTGCTGCGCGTAGTCATGCATTTCACAGTAAAATAATTCGCGCCGTTCACTGGCAAACCTCTACTTCATTTTTGGCCACCAGCCCTTCGGTGGCAGCATAAGCGAAGGCAAACAACTGCAGCAGCTGGCGCACGATACAAAATTCAAGACATTCCTCTCGCTCTCTTCTTTTAGAATTAATCACCCCGTTTCGGCCGAATTTCGTCCGCACCGGCGCACCCATGGCGTTGATTTTCTGACCAGAAGCTGTCCTTAAACTCGGACGCAATGTGTATAGGTCCGCTGAAGAGAATTTGCCACTGGGGGCCTGTGACAGCCCTAGGTGAGTCGGTGGCCCACTTGCCGCATTAATTAACATTCCACTGCAGTTTTATGTGATTTCTGTTTTGTTTTTTTAATTATTATAAATTAATTCATATGTGTTCAATTTTTTCCAGCCATTATCAAGAGCATTGTATACATGACTGTGTACTGCAATCGAATGTGGTGGCCTCCGGATTCTTCTGCTGGGGGAGCCCTCAATTTCCTACTTTTTATTTTACTCAGCGGACTCACAATCTTCAACTTCCTCAGTGCCGTTTATGTGGGACCAGGTTTCTTGCCCAACGGATGGTGTCCGGTAAAGAAAAACTTTTCAATTCACAACTAAATTTTAATTGATTTTAATGACATCATCAAATATTCAATCAAAAACAATTTAAACTTTGATCTAGCATATTTACAATTTGTTTCAATTTTTATTACAAGTGCTTTAATGAAAATTTAATAACTCTAAATTTTCTTAATATTTTAATTAAATTTGGTGTATTATTAAGAACATAATTATTTATTTGGGCAATCTTGCTGCATATTATAGGAAAACGAGTCCGACGCCAAGTACCTGCAGGAGTGCAAAGTGTGTGGAGGCTTTAAAGCTCCGCGCTCTCACCATTGCCGCAAGTGCAACCGCTGCGTCACAAAAATGGACCACCACTGTCCGTGGATCAATAACTGCGTGGGTCATCGTAACCACGGCCACTTCACCGCATTCCTCTTCTTTGCCGTTCTTGGCTGCCTTCAATCGTCGTTGGTGCTCACATGCACCCTATATCATGCACTGCACAGAGTGAGTTCATTATTTAATTAAAATACAGTTTATTATTATTATTTTTTTTAATAAAATTCAAAAATTGAAAATAAATTTTTATTTATCAATCAACTTGATTTGATGTTTTTAATTGGAATATTTGTCAATTTAATTTTTCTATATAAATAAAATTTTATGACTTTCCAGGTGAAATATGCATATTACGGAGGCGGCCCAATCATCACTTTTACATTGTACGGTCTAGTGGGCTGTGTTTTCTGTCTTGGCCTTGCCATTGGTGTCGTCCTAGCTGTCGGCATGCTTTTATATTTCCAAGTAAGTTCCTAAGCACTTTTTTTTTTTAATTTAAAACGAAATTTTTTTAATTCAGATGAGAGCAATTATTCGAAACCAGACTGCAATCGAAGACTGGATTTTGGAGAAAGCCAAGTACCGGCGGCTCCATAGTGAAGGAAACCGGACGCCTTTTGTATATCCTTATAATTTAGGTTGTTGGAAAAATCTGAGACAGGTGAATAACTTAAATGCAAAAAATAATGAGAAAAAAACTATATTTTACTCTATTTAGGTAATAACTTTGACCTGCGAGCCTGTAGGCGATGGAGTTGAGTGGCCAGTTGTCGAAGGCTGTGACCAGTACACTTTTACTGTAAGCTTGATTTTGTTTCCTCATATTTCTGTTTCCATAAACAATTCTTCAAATTTTATCCAACTAAAAAATTGTAATAATAATCAAAGTTCCTTCAATTTACAATTAGTAGAAAAACACATAATTTTAATCGGCGTTTAAAGCGACTGAATTCAACTGAAATACTTCAGGAAATATCTTCTGAACATGGATTTCATTTTATTTTTAGGTTGAGCAGCTTTTACAAAAGCAGGAGAAGCGGCAACGTGCCCGAAAGTACGAAGTCTTAAAAAATTATTCTGGTGCGTGGCTGCCCATCTCACACGGGTTGTACACCCTTTTCTGCCCTCCATACAGCGACGAGCCGAGACTGAGATTGAGGCAGGGCAACGTTGTGCTTGTTACAAGGTGGAAAAAGCACTGGCTCTTTGGCGAGCTCGAACTGGCCTCGGAACACGGCCTCAAAGAGAAATGGCGACTGAGAGGCTGGTTTCCTCGAAACATCGCCGTTGATCTGATTGACGCCACCGACGAGGAGGATGAAGAGGAGGATATTGTGGAGACGAAGAAGAAGAAATGACGATGCTTTTTATGGAAAGAAGCACTTTTCTGTTCTAGTCTTGAGTGTTTGTCTGAATTTTCCCGAGAAGCTGTACATCTAACAAAAGTGAGGCGCTTTGTGTGACAATTTGTAAGCTATTTTGCTATTTTTGTTAAGTTATAACTGCTTATTTTGTTACTTTTCTTGTTTTTTATAAATAATAAATCAACACTGGCAGTTCAATGCACTGCTTTTGAATGACGAAATAAATGTTTTTTTTTTTTTTTTAAAGAAATTTACATTTTTGGATAAAATAATTCTCTACCAAAAATATATGGTGAATACTCAAGACAGTTAAAAATTACTGTTTAAAAATTAAAGGAACCTAAATTTATATTAAATTTTAAGTCATTTATACTTTTCTGACCAAAATTACTCTCCTTACTGAAAAATATTGAGAGAAACATTTTAAAATGATTTATTTTTGAGCTTGTAAAGGAGACAGCAATGAACGCAAAAGTGAAAGAAACGCTTGTGCAGACAGTGCTGCCGCCGCGGGGGCGGCCGGAGGCGCGCGGTGGAGGAGCAGGAGGGCGGTCAGAGGGCGCTTTGGGTAGGCACCCCACCACCGAGAACTCGCTCCTGGCAGTCCTCGCAGAAGCGATCCGCGCGCGCGGCAGTTCGTCGGCGCCTCTCGTCCGTCCGCAGCAACTCGTCCGTCCGACCGACCGAGCTGACAGAACAAGCGAGACACTCTCGGCAGCATGCGTCTGCTCGCTGTGGCCGCCCTCGTCGTGCTCGCGGCGGCGGCGGCGGCCGCCTCCTCCGCCTCGGCGCTCACCTTCCAGCAGGTGCTCGCCCTCACCAACACCGGACACCGCATCTCCGACGACATCGACGTCGACCCCTGCAAGAACAGTGAGTGCTGTGTTTTTCTTTTGATAATATGCGCGCACGTTCCGCTCTCGAGACCCACGTGATATTTTGTTTTGAGAAGTGACATTAAACTTTGAACTGTCCTCAAAACAACATCGCATACTACCAATTGCTGAATATTTAAAAAAAAAACTTTATAATTTAATAGTAAAATATTTGTTAGAAAGGGAAAAATTATTGTTTCAAAATTTTAAAATTTGTTTACATAACTTATATTTTAATTATACTTTATTGAATTTTTATTTTCCCCTAGCCCTTATATTTCTGAGAGAATTATTCCAAAATTCAAGTATGTATTATACACCATAAAACATATTTTTATATTTTATATTGCTCTCAGTTTTCAGGCTTTGTCAGGGGCATTCCCAGATGTATTAAGGAATAATCAATTTTTTTTAGTACAGTAAAAATACCTCCTATTAAAGAAACACCAGAAATTTACACCCAACCATATTTAAAGTGATACAATTATGAACTACGCAATTACACGAATTAAGTTTTTTAGCCTTATTATCGACGAAGCCCGCTTATTTCTTCTAACTTTTATATTTTTCAACTTTTTATTAGCCTCACTGCTGATTTTCTCTCAACTCTCGCGTTTGAAAGCCCGCATTGGAAATTTATGTAACTGTACAAACAGGACTGGGCAAGTGAAATTCCAGGAAAATTGCCTGTCCTGCCCTGAGGAGGATGAGGCAGCTGAGACTTATTCTCAGCATTGTCAGCACTTCTCGTTAATTGCAGGAAGTGCCTTCCATAAACTTTTCTCAATATACCCTTTATGTTTCCAACAGAAACTGCTGATTTGATATTGGAAATTTTCTAGAAAAGCTTTCTGGCGGCTATAAATTTTATTTTCCGCGATCGTGACGTTCGATAATGGGATTCAAAAAGGACTAATCAAAAAATTGCCAGCAGCTAAAACGCATTCCAAGTCTCCGGCTTAACTGCCTCATTATCATGGTTAACCATTGATTAACATTCTATTTTTAATTTTTAATTCTGATTCTACCAAGGTATCTCACATTTATGTTTGTAAACTTCATATTCCAAAAAAAAATTATAAAACAATTTATATAATGAAATTGACAATTATTCCATATTTAAAAAAAAATATACTTGATGGAAAATATTTCAACACTTATAAAATATGGAAAATTTCCTTTCCAAAAGGTCAAAAATGTACTCAATAAATTTTGTATTCTGATTTTTAATTAATTTGTAAGTAGCGTTAAAATTATTCAACCACAGAATTAAAAAAATACTAAAACGCTGAATTTTTTAAAGCAAAAGTTATTGCAGCATAAAACTTTTGCCTAACCCTAATTAAGGAAGCGTTAATTACATTTATTATATTGCTAATTACGCCACATCATTGCTCCGCAAATTTCTCTCTCGTGCTGCAACGGCGCTTGCTCGCAAATAAATCAACGAAATTTTAATTATGCAGAGAACAAACTGCGGCTCTCTTGATGCACACGGAAAGTGCAATTACACTGCAGTTAAATTCCAACAAGTGACATTTGCTTGCAATTCCCACGGCGGCAAAATAAAACGGCGTTTTCATTTAAAAGACACCCCAGCTTAATTAAAAGCACTACCTGTCCTCTCGCAGTGTAAAACAAAGTTGGAGAGCAAAAACAGATAGAGATTTATTTCAAAAAATTTTATTTCACCGGCGCTTGTCCCGGAGTTGAATTTAATTCTTGTCGACGGTTTTTGTTCATAATCTTTTCTTGTAGGGATTCTTGCTCGCTGAGAGTGCAGCAGACAATTAGCAGCACACACAGTTTTGTTGTTCGTCTCGTGCCGAGGAGTTCTTTCTATTTTTTTCTAACTGACTCCTCTTTTGACACAAGAGAGATGAGTTTCGTTGACGTAGAAGTTTCTTCATTACAAAGTTACATGGCTGTTCTCACATGACTTCTCACGGATGAAGAAGCGTTTTAGTTATTTTAATTATAATTTTTATTTTATTATATTAATTATTTAAATTTTTAATATTGTGTTGCTCTATAAGATAAGTGAAAATTGTCAAAACTTATATTAACAAATAAATTGTATAAAATATAAAAATTTAATTAAATATATTTAATTGAATTTTTTGGGTGCTAATTTTTTATCGAAGAAACGATATAAACTTTTTTTATATTTTTAATTCAATCAATAAAATTAAATTTAAAATAATTATCCGTTTTCTTTTTTAGTGAATTCTGAAAGCATTTAATGTTCTAAATTTAGTAAATTTTGATTATTAACTTGTTTGGAATTAGATATAATCATTAATATAATTTTATTATTTATTTCAAATATGCAATAAAATTGCGATCGTTTCAGCTAAAATAATATTTTACAACTTTGCTAAAACTTTGAGTTGACCATGAAAATCTATAATACGAAAAGGCATCCAGCGGGTTTATCATAATGCATCTTGCACATGCATGCTCTAGGCGATTGACCGCGCACTGAATCAATGATGCAACCGCTAATTATTGGAGCATGCCAAGGGTGGCTATGCAATTAATTTGCTGCACTGGATTTCCTGCAATTTAATGGTCCATCAGCCAACAATTAATAACTAGTTCCGAACGAAGCTAAGCCATCTGCATCCTCAATATAAATATGGCATTTTGTTAGAATTAATAATTGTATTGAATAAAGACAAAACTATACTTTTTTGCGAAAAGAATTTTAATATTTTGTACTAATTGTACTTAAAATTTTAATACAATTTTTGTGAAAAATATCTTTGAACTATCGACAATTAAGCATTAATTTAAATTAATTTAAAAAAGGGTTTCCTGCTAAAGTGGCAAACTGAATTATTTATCATTATTAGATTCATTACAAACAGATACGGCTTTAGATAATTGCTTGAATTTTAATTGATCAATAAGTATTAAAATATATAGAAAACAAATGGAATTCAACGAAAAAAATTATAGTGGGCAAATCCTCATAATGCTATCTTTGTTTCAGTCTTTTTGAGAATCGGAAGTTTAAGTTGCTTTCCTTGAAAAACAATTCATATGTCAAAAACATTGATCAAGAATAGTTTTTATATTTCAGAAATTTACGAGATAAGAATATTTTATACACGGTTTCTGTCAAGTAAAAATAAGATGGGAATATTGTTGATTTTAATCTCTGGTAAATGGGAAATAACAATGTACAAACTGGTGTTGTCATCTTTCGACGTTTTGCTAAGTAAACAGGATCCAAGTCTAGTCGTTTCAAGAGCAAAAAAATCACCCTTCGAGGATCTAATGTCGTCTAATGTTCGTTCAAGAATTTTAGTTTTTTTTTGCAGTTTAAAAAGTGCTTTCAAAAGGCGATAACGTATGGATGGAACAAACAAAAAAACTGCATTAATGTGACAGCACCATTCTCTGCAGAGGTGCAAGAGAGCGAGGGGCATTTTCTCGTTCGGCTGCATTATCGATCAAAAGGGGCAGGTGAGAGCGCGAGATGGGCCTATGTGCAGTGGAGCTGCACTTTAGGCCACTGCGGGCGCAAAGGCCGCTTTTACCTGCCCGCCGGGCGAAATCATATTTTGTTGACATGTGATCGTGTTTGCGTGCAGACGACGAGAAGAAAACTGCGGTGGCGGCAAGGGAGCGGCGGGCAAAAAAGACCCCTTTGCAGAAAACCTACCTCAATCAGAAATGGATGGCCGCTCTTTCTTCTCGTTGCCTTTTCACAGGCTGAGCTCCTCTTTTGCAAACAGGAAAATGTTTGCGTGACTCGCGCTTTCTGCGGTTTTGCAAATTTTTTACCTTGAAGATTTTTTAAAATTTCCTAATTTTCACTTTGTTTAATTTTTATTCTAATTTTCAAGTATTTCATTTTGTGCGATTGTTATATTGCAATGGCAAATATTATAGAATTTAATGATACAAAAAATTATTTTTTTTTTTATCTACCTCTGATGGAATTATTTTTAAACTTTTTTTTTAAACAACAAAATATTTCAGTTAATTCAGTTAACTGGGCTTGCTAATAATTAAGTAAAATAGCTCTATAAAATTTTGAGAAATCTATTATTTAGTTTAAAGAAATTCGATGTTGCAATTCAAGTGTTAAATTGTAGCATTGAAAGTGCCGAAAATTTGACCTGGTTCTGTCTCTCAAATTATTATTTGAAGATGGATCACAACACTAATTTAATTACTTTCCAATGAGAGCAACGCGATAAGTACCTAATTGTTAGGTCAACCAGCACCCATTGTATTCGGGTTTTTTTTTATCTTGGCGAACTGATGCGGCGGACAGTGTTCCATCCGGGCCGCGTTTCGCATCTGAACTCATGGGTTCTTTTTATATTTTTATCTCAACATTTAACTCCACACATATGAGCGAAACCGCACGGCAGCCGAGCTGAATGTATAAATTTTTGCTCTCTGCAAGCATTTGAGAGCACACATGTGTGGAGTTTGTTATCTGGAAAGTTCATCGCCATTGCACTTTTGATTACTGGAAGGTCAAAAGCAATGTGCGAGACTTTATGTGAATCTCTCTCGAATCTCGACCGCAAAACTCTGCGCGGGTTGTTCGAAAAGTGGAGTGGACCAAAAAGGTGCTGATAAATAATGGAGAATTTGAAACATTTAAAGATTCAAATTGAAGGTTAAAAAAAAATACATGCAGCTTTGAAATTAATTTTTTAATTAAAAAAAAAAATCTTAGAACTGAAAAAAATTATAATTTTGCATTAAAGGCAAGAAATTGAAATGAATTGGCCTCATCTTATTTTTGCTCACTTGAAATGAATTAATGCTTGAAGATATCTTAATTTAATGGATGTTTCTTTTCTCGTCTCTTTTCCTCAACGCTGCTAGTGGAGAAAAAACCAAATCATTTTATGACGCTCAATTTCCTCCTCTGCTGTTCAGTTCAATTAAAAATGCAATCCGGCCACTTCTCGGAAGCGGCCGCCTCTTTTTTGTTATAATTGCCTTTCATGACTGCTGCATCTATATAAT